GCTCTCGAGCTCTCAAAGTGCTTAGATCAAGTGTTCAAGATCGTTTAGATCACGCATTCAAGATCATTGAGATCACGCATTCAAGATCACTCAAATCATGCTTCTGAGCGGCCAAATCACGCTTCTAAGCACATAAATAGTGCTTCCAAGCACCTAGATCGTGCTTCCGAGCACCCAAATTGCGCTTTCGAGCGCTCAAATCGCTATCCTTGTGTTCTCAATCAAGCTCTGCACTTTTTTATTGAACTCCCTGTGTTCTCAGATTAAGTTCCGCGCTTTCTGATCGAACTCCCTGTGTTCTCAGATCAAGCTCTGTGTTTTCTGATTGAACTCCTTGTGTTCTCACATCAAGCTTCGTACTTTCTGATTGAACTCCTTATGTTCTTAAATCAAGCTTCACACTTTCTGATCGAACTTCTTGTGTTCTTAGATCAAGCTTCACACTTTTTGATTGAACTCTCTATGTTCTCAGATCAAGCTCTGCACTTTCTAATCAAACTTCTTGTGTTCTCAAATCAAGCTTCGCACTTTCTAATCGAACTCTTTGTGTTCTCAGATCAAGCTCTATGCTTTCTGATCGATCTCCTTGTGTTCCCAGATCAAGATTCACGCTTTCTGATCGAACTCCTTGAGCTCCTTATGTTCTCTTATCGAGCTCCTTAAGCTCTTAGATTGCACACTCCAAATCAAACTCCTCATTTTGAGATCACGCGTTTCAGTTTGTTCAGATCGCACGCCTCAAACTCTCAGATCGAGCCCTTATCAGATCGCGTCCTAACTCTCAAATCGCAATCAACTCTCAGCTCTAAGATTGCGAACAACCTCAGATCGTGTTCTCAACTCTAAGATCGCGATCAGTTGTCAGTGTCAGAAAAAATGTGTAGAAAACTTAAAACAGCCCTGAAACATGCCAAAACGGTGGATTTTGACCCTGAAAATGACCCCAACTAGTTCCCCAATTGCCACAACGTAGAGCTCGAAACAAGCTTTCCATGAATATCTTACAAGCTCCAAAACTCCTCCTGAATCAAAAGTTATGGTTTTTTCAAGTTAGCATGTTCGTTTAAGACCTCTGAACCGCGCATTTTGGCTTTGCTCAACTCTCTACAAGAATTCATCTACTAGACGTTTTATGTCAGTTATCATATCGTGATCAACTTCGAATCACTCCAAGCTCTCAGATTGCAATCCTAGCTCTCAGTAGCCGATCGTGCTAGGCATAATTCAAGCTCGAAGACATGAGTTTTTGAAGTGCAACTACGCACTCCAAAAACTAGGAGGGTTCAGTTATGCCAAAAATACACACTGATGTCAGCACCACTAATCAGAGCTCAACAAGCACTTAAAAGCAAAGTGGTATTAGTTATCAAAACCGCCTCAAAGAGATATTACATTCATGAAATGAGGAGGCTTGGCATATGAGAGCTAGGCATACGTTTGAGCTTTATTATTTTTCTCTGTAAAAAAGCATTACTCAATTTTTGTATGCCTTACGGGCGATATCAGAAAAATAGTCAAAGAATAATAAAATAACAATGGACGTAAGATTCGCTTTAAGCATCTGAACTACTATAAAAAAAAAAATTTTGTCAATCTTTTATTTATATTTGTACAAACATATGTCACTGTAACCCTCAATCAATTGTTCACTTATAATTTATAAGACCCTCTTAGCACTTTGCACGTGTAAAGTTGTTGGTGTCAAAAATCACACATCAACATTTTCTATAGACTTATGCAAGTTATACAGGTTATTTATCAAGTTTAGAGACCTTGTCTATGTAATGTTTCACTTGTATTTAACGTGCGGGTTGAATGGTGGCAAAGTAATAGGTAGAAATATTCAGAATTCAACTAATTGTTATTCAAATGGATTCAATTTTATGTACGAGAGAAAGACGATTGAATAGACAAACTAATTGCACTCCTTGACGGATTTCAAGGTGATTTTTCATATTAACACCATTACAAAACAACTTTCTGATCAGGTTTTGTATGTAATGGATTTAGTAACCTCTCCATGATTATCGAAAAACCATTAAGTTGAGGTTTTTATACTTTTACATGAGGTAAATATAAGTAAGTAAAATCAATATTTTGAAATATACAACAACTAAAATAGACTAGATGATCATGGCAACGAAGGTAATTCCACTCAGCTAAATCCAAAGCCAAAGTGGACGACTTAATGCTTTTTTTTTTTTTTTCCTTTATAATCTGAATAGGAGGTGGGTCGAGGGAGAAAGAAGAAAATAGAAAATAGAGATAATTAAATTAAATAATTATAAGGTCAAAAATACCGTTCTTAAGAATGGAAATATCAATAAAATATTTTTATCGGTTAAATTTAAACTCCAAATGGTTGATCTGACCATCAAGGAGGTCTGCTCCCTTCCTTGAGTTCCTAGGTTCAAGCATTGAGACTACCTATTATAATAACATTGTAGTTTACCTGGTCCTTTAGGTTTATAGGGTGTTTAATGGACCTCGAGAATTAGTTAGGTGTGCGTAAGCTGTTCCGGATACCCTAATTATCAAAAAAAAAGAAAAAAATTTAAATACTCAAAAAAGAAAACTGAAGCACATCTAAACCTAAGTTAATGTATGGGTTAAATACTTTCATATGACCTCCACTAAAAGATTTCAATCCTTCCCTAACGAAGAAATGATTGAAGGCAGTGCTGGCTTTGGCATAGAGCCATGTGGGGTTACCTAACTTTGCACCCCCACATTGATTCTCAAAATGGGCAAAAATATACAAACATATAAGAAGATACTCTTGTACTTGAGCAACTTCCTATCTCCCGAATTTCAAATAATGGACACTTTTTTTTTCTTTTTTTTTATCTTCTCTCTCACTTGCACATGGCCTCCAGCATCCCCACCTTCATTTATGGCTTGAATTATTACTCTTTCATAGCAAAAAGATCTCTATCCCTCTCTCCTTCCTTTAAATATTATGCTCTTCTAATTTTAAAACTTATAATAATGGCAAAGAGCCAGATGTGTGTGCATGTGGGCTCTTGAATATGGGGTGCATTTGTTTTATGGGAAAGAATGGAGTTTGGTGGGCACAGAGACAAATGATTGTTGAACTTATATAACTAGCTTAACGTCTCTCTCTCATGGGGACCTCTAACTCTTGCTTAGAAAGTTCCAAGTTGTCTATTGTTTTCTTTATCTTTTTCTCAACCCTATAACATGCAGAGATTCTACTCTCCCAAATCAATCATGTTCTGCTTTAATATTCAGCATCAAAAACTTTTCTTTTATGGGCACTGTAATTGTTTGAGGTTTCATAGTATATTTGATTTATGTGACATAGTAATGTTTCGGTGTTTACACCTCATTATAGGAAAAATATGATTTCCTGACTAGTTAAAGACAAATGTTGGAATATTCAATAGACTTCAGAGATTAATTGAGGTGCGCGCAAGCTGACCAGACACCCCAGTCACAAAAAACAAAAACAAATGTTGGAGTGAAGCATCTCTCTCGATATAGTACCTCATTAAGAGAGGCGTTTTATCATTTTCAGCAAAAACTATGGTTGGAATAGTCTTTTTAGTCTTTTTTGTTGGTAGGGTGTCTAAGCCAGCTTAAGCACACCTCAACAAATCCCCCGACATCCCGAAGTTAATGACCAAGCAAAATTAAGAGTTCTTATGATCGGATTAGAGTTTTAAAAATCATGCATATATGTTTTTTTTTTTTTTCCCAATAAATTCAGGCTGGTTCTTTCATTATGTTTGACATTGTTTCAAATCATATAGATCTTTTGTAACAAGCTTGCTTCTGAATCAATCCAATAATCTAGTTTGAGCGTGAGGAATTACTATTAATTGATGGTGCATTATACTAAAAATAAATCTACTTTGTATATCATTAAGATGATAATTATGTGAATGATGATGACAATGATAATCCCAGATGGTGCTTAATCTACAAGCCAGCTTTAAAAAAGTAATAGCCCAAAAAGAAACCTATAATAGGTTGAATAATCAATGAGGCATTCTTGAAGCCAAACTTAGGTACAAGTTTGATGGTGTAAATTAATTCAATAATGACTAATAATATTATAATTTATTTTTTTTAATCACTGGGTGTGTCCAGATCAGTTTGCACGCATCTCAACTAATTTCTCGGGATCTTGGAACTACTGGCAGAGGAAGAACCTCAATAGCCACTATCCACCCCTATTAGTACTTGTAGGGACTCGAACTCAAAAGCTTATAGAACCTCCTTTTGCTCTTTTACTATCAGGTCATTTAGTAATGTTTAATATTATAATTGTTCATGTGAAAAATAAAAAAAGATGACCTAATTTAACCTTTTCATTACATTTGATATTAACTCAACCCAATATAAATTAATCTTAATTAGGAATAGACAGAGCTGCTATGTTGGAATCTTAGATGCATAAGTGTGTATTTAAAAAGAATTAATCATTTCTGCAAAATATGAACTGGTATTTTTCTGTGCATATATCTTTATCACAAAATGACAATTAGTACAATGTTAATTGTAACAGTCTCTGTCAGATGAATCTGGTTGAGGAATGTCAGAATTTAAACCTAATCATATAGTATCATTATAAGTGAAAAATAGAAGATAATAATTGAAGGAGACAAGTTCATGTTCAGAAACAAGACCAATAATAAAGTAATAATAAGATCACTGGTTTTATTTAATTTCAAACTCCCACTTGGGTTGACTATGATTAATAATATTAATGGAGAAAGCATAATCAGCAATCAATTAGAACACATTCTCTCCATGTTTTAGTGTCTGGGAGATTTGTAATAAGTCCAAAACTTTACAGTCATTAAGTGCAGATAATTAGCTGGTGCAGATCCCAAGATCCCACGAACTCTTCTGTTAAACTAATCCTAATTGTTTTTACTTATCATAATAAGCTTTTTCTTTCTTTCTTTCATATATTAGCTTTCTTGCCACCCTCTAGCTCCTTTGTTCTAGAGAACCAATCTAGCTCCTTTGTTCTAGAGAACCAAAAATGAGATTCAACTGAGAGGAAGAAACTACCTGGAAAATTAGAGCCAAAAATGCAAACCCACTTGCTGTTTCTCTACTGTTACATTGGTCTCTCTCTTGTTTTTGCTGAGGGGGCTCAAACCATTGCAAATGATGAATTGTCAACCTTACTTGCCATAAAAGCCAGTCTCATTGATCCTTTAAATAAGCTCATGGACTGGAAACTGCCAAACAATGTGGTGGAGAACAAGTTTCTGCATTGTAACTGGACTGGAGTTTCATGTAACTCGAGAGGGTTTGTAGATAAGATTGACCTGTCGAATATGAATCTCAATGGCAGTGTTTCCGAAAGCATTCAAGGCTTGCGGAGACTTTCTTCTCTCAACATTTGCTGCAATGAGTTTACCTCATCGCTGCCGAAATCCTTGTCCAATCTTACTGCATTGAAGAGCTTTGATGTAAGTCAAAATAACTTATTTGGTAGCTTCCCAACCGGTCTTGGAAAGGCGTCAGGATTGACTTCAGTTAATGCGTCAAGCAATAACTTCTCAGGCTTTCTCCCTGAGGATCTTGGCAATGCTACATCACTTGAAAGCTTGGATTTGAGAGGGGGATTTTTCGAAGGTCCGATTCCTACCTCTTTCAAGAATTTGCAGAAACTGAAATTTCTAGGCCTTTCAGGTAATAATTTGACAGGAAAGATTCCACCAGAGCTTGGGCAGCTTTCTTCTTTGGAAACTACAATTCTTGGATACAATGAGTTTGAAGGAGAAATCCCGGAAGAGATTGGCAATCTTACCAACCTGCAGTATCTTGACTTGGCGGTTGGCAGTCTCAGTGGCCAGATTCCACCTACATTGGGTAGGTTGAAGCAACTTACAACAGTGTACCTGTATAACAACAATTTTACAGGAAGGATTCCTCTAGAACTTGGCAACAGTACATCTTTAGTGTTTCTGGATCTATCTGCTAATCAGATTTCTGGAAAGATACCGGTAGAGTTAGCAGAACTGAAGAATTTGCAGCTCTTGAATTTGATGTGCAACAAATTAACTGGTTTCATACCAGACAAGCTCGGTGAGTTGACCAAATTAGAGGTACTTGAGCTATGGAAGAATTCTTTGACAGGTTCTTTGCCAATGAAACTTGGGCAGAACTCACCTTTGCAATGGTTAGATGTGTCATCAAACTCATTGACAGGTGAAATTCCGCCAAGTTTGTGCAGCTCTGGCAATCTTACTAAGCTCATTCTCTTCAACAATTCCTTCTCCGGTATATTCCCAATCAGTTTGTCGGCATGTAAGTCACTTGTACGTGTTCGAATGCAAAATAATCTTATTTCTGGGACAATTCCAGTTGGTTTGGGTAATCTCCCACTGCTTCAAAGGTTGGAATTGGCAAAGAACAATCTCACAGGCCAAATTCCAGAAGATTTTTCTCAGTCTACATCACTGTCTTTCATTGATGTTTCTTGGAACCACCTAGAATCATCTGTCCCATCTAGCATTCTCTCCATTCCAAATCTTCAAACATTCATGGCTTCCCACAACAATTTGCAAGGCAAGATCCCAAACCAGTTTCAAGATTGCCCATCTCTCTCGGTGCTTGATCTTTCAAGCAAAAGTCTCTCCGGCGAAATCTCAGAAAGCATTGCTTCATGTGAGAAGCTGGTGACTCTAAACCTTAGAAACAAACAGCTCACTGGGGAAATTGCAAAATCAATCGCAAGAATGCCAACATTATCCATTCTTGACCTGTCCAACAATACTCTGGTTGGTAGGATTCCAGAAAATTTTGGAACCTCGCCAGCCCTGGAAATGCTCAACTTGTCTTACAACCAGCTTGAAGGTCCAGTGCCATCAAATGGTATATTAACGACAATAAATCCTAATGATCTTATAGGCAATGCTGGTCTATGTGGTGGCGTACTCCCACCATGTTCCCAGAGACAGTCAGCAAGAACAGGGCAGTCAAGGAATAAGCATATCAATCATATCATTATCGGATTTGTCACCGGAGCTTTGGTGATAATAACTCTTGCCACTGCATTTTTCACTGGCAAATGGCTATATAAAAGATGGTACTTGTACAACAGTTTCTTTGATGATTTGTTCAAGAAGAGCTGCAGAGAATGGCCTTGGAGATTGATAGCATTCCAGAGGCTGAATTTCACAAGCAGTGATATACTATCTTGCATCAAGGAATCAAATATCATCGGCATGGGCGGAACTGGGATTGTTTACAAGGCTGAAGTTCATCGCCCACATATGATTGTGGCAGTTAAGAAGCTATGGAGATCTGATAATGACATCGAAAATGGTGATGATTTATTCGGAGAGGTGAGTCTCTTGGGAAGGCTTCGACACAGGAACATTGTACGACTACTAGGGTATCTTCACAATGAAACAGATGTAATGATGGTGTATGAGTACATGCCAAACGGGAGTCTTGGAGCAGCACTGCACGATAAAGAAGCTGGGAGGTTGTTGATCGACTGGGTTTCCCGGTATAACATAGCAGTTGGTGTGGCTCAAGGTCTAAACTATCTCCACCATGACTGTCAACCACCAGTCATCCACCGCGACATCAAGTCTAACAACATACTTCTTGATGCAAATCTTGAGGCAAGAATAGCAGATTTCGGTTTGGCAAGAATGATGGTTCACAAGAATGAGACAGTTTCAACGGTGGCTGGATCTTATGGCTACATTGCACCTGGTGAGTCGCATATTTATGATTTTCAGAATGTTTGTTTTCAGTTGTGTTAATATAGAAGCCATTGATCACATGACCTCGTATTTTTTCTTTAACAGAATATTTTTTCTTTAACAGAATACGGATACACTCTAAAGATTGATGAGAAGAGTGACATTTACAGTTTTGGCGTTGTACTTCTGGAGCTTCTGACTGGGAAAATGCCTCTAGACCCAGCATTTGGAGAATCTATTGATATTGTTGAATGGGTTCTAAGGAAGCTCAAAAGCAACAGAACCCTAGTAGAAGCACTGGACCCAAGCATAGCAGGGCAGTGCAAACATGTTCAAGAAGAAATGCTTCTTGTCCTTCGAATAGCACTTCTTTGCACTGCAAAACTCCCCAAGGACAGACCATCCATGAGGGATATTATCACAATGCTCGGCGAAGCAAAGCCGAGAAGGAAAAGCATGTGCCACAATGGATCACACAATTCTAACAAAGAGAAGCAAATCTTCAGCAACTCACCAGTAGTAGGCCTTCTGTAGAGAGTTTCTTATGGCTGCTGTTCATTTCATGTAAACCTTTCCCTGCGAATAAATTTGTGGTTTTGTACCATTAGTTCTGTTGCAGGCTGGAAGGAAAAGATTGTTGATATAAATGTTTATTCATCTTAAATAAGCAAGTTTCGAATTTCATTGCTGTAGGATGAATCCAGCTTTTGCCATTCCAGTTCCTGATTCTCAAGCTTAAGTTAAAACTACTAAGCTACTCCTTGCCTCTTCTCTTTTATCAACTACTATTGTTCCTCTCTGCTTCATGCCCGCAAGAGTTCAACCATTGTAAAGTTGGTAGTTTATTTCCCTGTTTAGTCCACAAATATTGCTAAATTTGTGGTCTACAAATCAAGCATTTCCAATATATTTGCATGCTTAAAGAAAACTACAGAGTTAAAGGGAAAAAAGAGTAACCTATAAGCAGTATGGGAGTTTCACACCTTTTAAGTGGAAGGACTCCCTCCATTTATAAGTCCAAGACCTCCTCAATACGCTTTCGATATGGGATTGGTTACATTCTCCTCCACCTAATCCTATGACATCCTCGTTACAGTGGAGCCCCCTTACCTACCCATCCACCTCACTCTTATGTGGACCCACAATCACACGTGAACACCCCTGCACAGGTGCTTGGTGAGACATCGAAAAACGAATCGAGTCTGCTCTGATATCACCTGTCACGAGCTGAGAGTTTTACACCTAAACGGCTAACCTATTAGGTGGAAGGACTCTCATTTATAAGCTCAGGACCTCCCCAATACGCTTCCAATGTGGGATTCGTTACAATAGGCAACAAAGGCTTATTGGGTACTTCTTCATTCATAAAATTTCTAAAAGGGCCAGCACACAAGGTAAAAAGTACTCAAAACTTTTAATATGTTTCATTATATTGATGCTTAACCCTTATAAAGAATTTATAATTAATGGTTGAGAAGGAAAAAGAATCGAGCCTCTTCTCAACCCAGTACTACTCCCTATACAACTAGTTTACAACACTGCATTTTCTATGCTCGAAAAAGAATTTAAAAAGAAAAAAATCTTAAATGAGCTGTAACTTAAATATAAGATCTACATAACATCCACAGACTGACTGGTTAAGCTCATACGAGAGGTGAGGGCTTTCATCTCATACTCTGAAGAAGGTAGTAATGCTAGAGCCGGAAATTCCTTTCATCCTAATTTGTTGCGTTCAGAAGAGGAGATCCTGATGCGTTTCCATTTTCAAGAAAGGCGCTAGAGAATGGCTGTAAATTCATTTAGAGAAAGAGAGAATGAGGCACAGTCAGTAAATTTGATGTATATCTGTAAGAAGTACACATTTTGCTAATAAATGGAAAATATTGTATGTCAATTAAAATGAACCATTCTCAGGTTTGGTACACTATGTCATTAGAAACGGTGACCAGGAAGAAACATATAAAAGTTATTAACTTGTCATGCCATGTTTCCAATGTCTAATTGGCTTATTTTACACACATTTTACAAGCATACAATATAAGTTTAAAACACATACTTCTATGACTAACAAATTATTTGAAAATACCATGAATATTTCTGTCATGCAAACATACAAAATCCTCAAGTAGTAAATGTATAAGCACAATCAAACTAATATGCATTGCTTTTCCAAGTTACAATATTTTCTCATTTCCCCAGCACCCCCCTGTACTTCTTTTACTAGGTTAACTGTCTTTATATGAGATGCAGAATAAACAGAAAACCAGAGTCAAGTTTTGTTTTATGTTACATTTATATGCCATATAAAGACAATTAACAATGTATTTTGTATTTGATTCTTTTGATTAGGAATGATCAAGGCAAAGACATGCATACACTCCTACAAGAAAACACTCTTTTAAGTCAATTTATTTTTTTATATTTCTTGTTTGTAGTCACAAGTCAATACATAACTCTAATCAACAATAACCTAAACAAGAATTTATGCCATGAACAGATAAACAAATGAACCCCAAGGGTTAGAGTTGAATGGTTATGGCATTCAGTGCTCAACCAAGAGATTAAAGATTTAATCCCCTTGGAACCACCTACTTAGGTTATTATACCCTCAAGTTCTTGACAGCTGTAAGGATCAAAAACAGTCTCTAGTTTCGACATTTGACAAACTCATAAGAAATGAACCTCCAATATTTAATGCCATGAACAGCTAAACAAATTTAATCCCAATGGTCTCCAAAAAGAGATTAGAGGTTTAAATCCCTTGAGAAGCTCCTACTTGGGATACCATACCTCAAAAGTCCTTGGATTGTCACGGCGTAAAGTCCAAAAGTAGTCTTCTTTTTCAAACTCGATAAACTCACAAAAAAAGATCACGGATTTATAGATTCAAAAAAGAAAAATAATAATGTTAAAAATGGTTACAATATACCTCTTTGTAATCAACTTTGGATAGGAAAAAAGGCTCTTTCTCTCAAATAACACCATTATCATCCATTATTCTTTCCAAATCCTGCTAAGCAAATGGAGAATGAGTCATTGCACTAATGTTATAATGGACAAGACAAGTTAGCTCAACAAGTCAAATTATCCTGCTAGTTCACTACCTTAATAACAGTGAAAATAGCAGGTTCAACTGAACATTCAATATTATTATTTTCAAATTCATCTAAAAATCACTTAGAATTGCAAATGAAGATAAATTATGGAAATTGGATAGACCAGAGAAAGAATATAGGCAGAAGTCAAATTCAGAAGCCTTCTAGACATTCCCTCAATTTAATTAACTTTTAAAGTAACGGTTCATACCTTTCCAGTAAGGATCTCAAATTCAAGCAATTCCTCAACAATCTTTTCGAGAACACGACGATTTTTCTGAAGCATTTCCTTTGCTTTACAATATGCTAAATCATACATCTACAAACATAAATACACCAGTTACAGGAAATTCAGTAAATCAATCTTATAACAAATTTACAGTAACCTAAATGATGCCATCACTGGTGTTTACTTCATCAAATCAGAGCTAGGGCAAAAAAAGCAGTAAATATACCCTATCAAAATAAGGATACCTTTTCAACCTTGCAGGCCATCTCATACTCATGGTTGTTCCCCATGCTCATTGCTGAAACCTGTTTTAGAGAACAAAACTATCACTTGATTTGTATTTTTTAATAAGATAAATAATCATTTGATGATTTTCCTACAAACAGAAAGACATGCACATGTATGCACATTGTCTCTGAGCGATAATTACACACATATTACACTAGTAGGCAACCAACCAACAAACTAGACACCACAATATGATAATCGTAGAATAAATTCCTTTGTTGATCAACATGTTAACTAAACCAATAAAGAAAAGTAAATACCGCATTACTAGAGTAGTAAATTGCAGGGCTGTCATCAGGTCCCCACCCATACTGAAGCACCATCCGTGTAGCTATCTGTAGCAACTTGTAAATAAGTAATCATGCATGTATGCTAATAATTAAATTTTCTAAATTCTCTCTACCATGAGCAGGATGATACCAACCTCCTGAGCCTGCATTAATTCTGAAGAAGAAAGAAAATTTTCTTCAGCAAAAGGAAGTAGCAGTTGAGCCGCAATATATGAACCAAAGCAAAATACAAGTTTCTTTTCAAGATACGATCTTGATTCTGCATTCCCACTCACAAAACCTTCATTTTTCACCTTTGAAATTTTTGTGCAACCAATTCCCTGAAGGGCAAATAAGTAGTCAGTCAGCACTAATCTGTGGATAATTCCCCATAGCAATTTTATTTGAACTATGATTCCACAAAATTGATTTTCCACCAGCTTCTGGGAGCAATCAGTGTAATAAGCATATATATGGAAGTGCACCGGAACTAGAACCAGGCAAATGACCCAATATAAATATATATGTGAAAAATATCAGAATTGTGAATTTTAAAGGACTTTATGTAAATAACAGTGGCATTTTCCTATTCCCCGAAGCGATTTGATCTGACCTATGATTCCACAAAATTGATAACTGAAACGGCTTTGATGATTTCACTAGTTTCTGGAAGCAACAAATATGTATCTAGCATCTTAATTGTAAGTGTCACCGGAACGAGAATTGGACAAATGACCAAAACTAAATACATGCCAAAAGAAAATAGAGTAAAGGACAACCGTGAGCTCTCAGAGGCCTATGTATAGAAAAAAGTGTTATTTCCCCTCCAGGAAAAGAGGCCTAGACCTGAATTGATCATTAAGATTTTGTTAGAAGCCAAAAGAAAATTGTGTGAATGACAACTGTGAGTTCTCAGAGGCCTATGCATAGAGAAAAGTGGTATCTCCCCTCCAGGAAAAGAGGCCTGGGCCTGAATTGATCATTAAGATTTTGTTAGAAGCCACCGGAATCTGCCAGGGTTGTTTCACAAGTATCTCTACTATAATCACTTGAGAGAGTAATATACACAAGATATCCTCCCTCCAGGAAAAGAGGCCTGGGCCTGAATTGATCATTAAGATTTTGTTAGAAGCCACCGGAATCTGCCAGGGTTGTTTCACAAGTATCTCTACTATAATCACTTGAGAGAGTAATATACACAAGATATCCTGTAGAAGTATAAAACCTGAAGATATGGCAATGACTAACCTCCCATGAACATGGCTCAAGCCATAAGTTATCTACTACATCAAAGTTTGGTAACAGAAGTGCAATGAGACCACGACCAGCAGCCCAAACAGCATGTGGGAACTTAGTCTCCCTTGTCCACTGGCAGGAAAAAAAAAACTATTAATTGAGTCAAATTTACAAAATAAAAGAATCAGAGAACCTTAGGCATCAGAACAAAGAACCATCATGGAATGGTTTCTTACATCAAGTGGAGGATTTAAAAGTTCTACTCCATTGCTTATCTGACCATATGGTTCCATAAGATCAACCACATTCTGCAGATCCTCTTTAGTCAACGTTAATCCAAGATGATCCACTAGCACTCGGCTTATCTTCCTCACAATTTTAGTTTTCCGCACCCAGTTGGGGACAATACAACCAAATGTCTATGCATAAACAATAACAATCTCAAAATGCAGATAATTAATCATTTGGTCAAATCAAACTTCTAAGTACTGGCATTTGAATATCGATCTTGCACAGTTAACAGCATAATAAAAATTCAAGCAAAATTCGAAAGAAAGTTCAGTCAATTAGTTTCCTAGGACTTGAAAAGGGTTAATCATATTTATATTTTCCACGCAGGATGCCATAATATTTGAATGGGCTATGTATCCAGCTCTTAGGTGAGGTTCAAGATTCCCTTCTTTATTAAATTTTTTATATTTATTCCACCCAAGAAACCAAAAATTTACAATTCTCATAGCCCACACCAAAGGAGAAGGAGAATATAAAATCAACCAAACCAGGATCCCAAATTGTATAAAAATACCTATCTTCTTTGTCTTCTTTTTGTCATTTGCTTTCACTTAATTATTACTACAATTATAGCTTTCTATAGGATTCCAACTCATAAAACAGCCCAGCCCTAGCATTTGGTAATTTGGTTGTTTATCAAAGCAATATTACCATATTCTCCAAGCCACACCAACAGTCTTCTTCTGACTGTAGTTAATGAAAATATAATGGACCTGACACAGGACCACAAACTCGCTCCATATCTAATACCTAGTTGATGCCACTAATTCAACCAAATAACTAAACCTACAGTTCTTTTTCTTTTTCCTCTTTTTCAATTTTTATAAGAAACTATGAGTTTGTATTAACAGTAAATAAAGGGAGATCTACAAAAGCAAACAAGATCTGGCCATAAAAAGGGCTAGCCTGTTAAATCAAAAAGATGTGAACATAAAAAGGACTAGCCAGTTAAATCACAAAGATCTGGCCACTCCTGAACCTCAGTATCTAAATGGCCAAAGAAATTTTCTGTAATTTCTTACCGCAAACCAACTAGTATAACTCATAAGTTCATCTGTATCAAGAAATTTGCTCCTGAAAGCACTGCCTTCTAAGGCAACAGGAACAAGTTTTAATTCTACAGGCCGTAAAAGAGATGTCTTCTCAGCAACCTGAAGGGTCAATGCACAAAGAGAACATTAGTATAGAGTAAATTTGAACACAATAATCATAATAATTAATGATAACAGGAGAGGAAAACAGTAATGCACAATTGGTCGAGAATTTGGTCTAAAATAAACCGCTTTCAGAGTATAATGATGGGAAATTTTTTTTTTTTTTTTTTTTTGGTATAGTAATTGGCCACCTCTTGGTACAACTCGAACTCAAGACTGAGGGGCGCTTTCAACCATGCGCCCCTCTATCCATCTGGCCACAAGTGGGTGGTTATGATGGGAAATTCTAGATGGCAAAAGAGAGCACAAACATTCTGTAAATAAGCACATAAAAACAATAGTTAATGATGAAGAGATAACATCTGAAGTTCAAGCAACCAAAAACCACATGATTAACAACAGATTAATAACATAGCATTTAAACATACATTAACAATTGTGCAGATATCTACTGTACGGCCATCAAGTTCAGATCTGAATAATAATTACATTCACACATGTATGGAATTACCTTTCTCCAGTCTACTAAATCAATAAGCTCATCATCCATGGTTTCTTTAGCAGCAAGGCGTAATATGCTCTCCCTTTCTCTTTGAGTTGGACTTTGGAGATGAAATACTCTATCCATTCGACCAGGCCGCTGTAATGCCTCATCAATTTGCTTGATATTTTTTGTAGTAGCCATCAAAACAACCCCATCTTGTTTCTCAAACCTGCAAAAAAGTATAAGGTAAACTGGGAGATAGACATCAACTGAATGCTTAATTACTCAACGTCAGAAGGACAAGAGTTGTGAAAGGTATGACAATCAAATCATAAGAATAGATAAACTGATGAAACCTTGTGATAATAAGTTAAAGAGTACATGCAAAAAAAAATTAAGAAACCCAGGTTAAAGTGCAAATTTTATCTTTTGTTTTTTGAACTATATTAAATTATAATTAAAATTAAAAAAAATAACCAGCTGCTGTGAGAAGCACATAAATGACAGCCACAGCGCCAAAGGAACAACAACTAGCACTTCACTGTCACTCAATTGCCAGCGACAGCACCAAGACACAAACCAATTTGCGCTGTCACTGTCACACCATTGACAGCGACAGCGACAGCAGGGGCAACGATGAGACGCTGTCACTGCCAAGGCAGCGACTGATTTTAGAAGCCAAACATGAGCTCTGCCAACGATAGGCACGTCACTGTCAAGGCAGCAACAGCACCAAGACCCCAACAGTAGTGCACTGTAGCTGCCACATAGACGACAGCAACAGTGCCAAGATATTACGCTATGTTTGCTGTCACTGTCACATATATGAAGGGACCGCCAACAATGGGCGCTGTCACTGTTGAACTGCCGTATTATATGTTATATACTTCATTATAATATTACACCAAGGCATGCTAAGCAATTTGCTCAAAGCCAGCAGGTATGCCAATGAATAACAAGAGAAGATGAGTATTACCCATCAAGTTCCACAAGAAGTTGATTAATGAAGGATTCATGATCCTGCTGTTTAGTATGAATAAATTGGCCACGAACACCAGCAAAGAGGTCAAAATCTTCCACAAATATAATCACAGGTGCCTGCAAATTCAAATATACAACACTCAAAAAATATTGGTCGCCACACAACTAATTTAATTCACTTCTTGTTTCAACATCAAATAAGACATTTTTCAGTCAACTTATATTTAATGTCAGACTTTAGATACATTAATTACTTCCTCTCATTTCAATTAACAAACCTTCACTTCAATTCAAGTTCTCTAAAGTAAAAACTGTTGACCGACTAACAGAAGTAAATTTATCTACATATTAGTACCCAAGTTACGAACCCTATAGAAAACTTTCGGTTCAGTCTCAGCTATCTTGGATCTAAGCAGAAGAGTCATATAAATACTTAATTTCTGGTATTGAAATAAATTTGACGGGAAAAAAATAGAGAAAGAAGCTTATATATACCAAATCCCTAGCTGTTTGAAACAGCTCCCTAACATTTGATGCACTTTGGCCAACCCACAGTCCAGCTTCCAGCTCTTGAGCATTAACATTCACAACAGGCACCCTAGCTTCTGCAGCTATAGCCAGTGCTAGAGATGTCTTTCCAGTACCCCTCTCACCAACAATAAGAACTCCCTGCAAAATAGAATAAGCTACCTCAAAAACCAACCATACCACATTAAACATAAAAATCTAGACCAGGAGTGCAATACTTTTTTTCTGAAAACATGTAAGTAGTTACACTGTACAGCATAAGCTACCAGCTGAACTGGCATCAAAACCAATTTTGCAAAACCAGCTGTAGCAGATTAGACAACAACTTTTTCAGATCCTGTTTGTTCTAGTTAAAGAGCCTCAGCAAACATATAAGACATGAGGACAGATATTAAGAGAACAAATCATACCAAATATAATTAGGTAAAGGAAACACAATCATATCCATATAAGAACTTCAGAATAACATACCCGAGGGGCACGGGCACCCATTTCTTGGAATGCACCGGGATTCTGTAGAAATGCCACAACTTCATTGATTTCCTCTCTCATAGACTCAATACTAGAAAAGTCCTTCAAAGGGATTGGAGGATTCTTCACTCTCTGCAGACCAGCCATGATTGTGAAATTTGTTTGATCAAATAATTTAAATATTATAAATATATATTAAGAGACCTAGAGTGTAGTATGAACCTTCATTCGGTCAAAAGCAGTTCTTATGGGATCAATGCCAGCCTTTTTCTTCCGTTTGATTCTTCGCACCCTAAACTTAAAGTAGGCTTTCTGCAAGACAGAAACGATATCTATAATCAGTCAGCTGCACCTAAAAAAAAGACTGATCAATAGAATGCACTATGATGCAATTAAGCTAACCAAAAAAAAAAAAAAAACCAAGATCCACTTAAAGATCACAACAAACACACTTCCTCACTCACTAAAAGGTAGGGAGTCATCCCTTCAAACACCAAAGGTTATGTTCCATGAGCAGTAAGGATCATTTAATGAATTCAATTAGTAATATACAAGCAATATAATCTCTTTCCATGCAGTTAATCCACATGAGAAACATCCAGACAAATGTTGCTTAAGTTATACTGTTATGAAACCGTTGCTTAAAAAAATCAGTTTATCATTTTACTAAAAATAAATTTAGGATGAATTTGCTGGGATGTGGAAGGTTCTTTGGCATTCATCTTGGGCAAATCTCCATTTCACCATAATTACTGCATGATTACTCAGGTTGATTAAGAACTTCAGAAACAAACATTCCCTGGTGAGAAAAATAACTTCAATTTTTTTATACAGATGTCAGTCAGAGAAAGGTTTTAAACATCAAAACTTTAGGAACTCTCCAGAATAAAACAAACCATCCTCCAATCTTACAGATCATGCATCACAAAAACTCTACCATAACCAATACACCTATTAGTCAATATTAGAATAAGTCTTTAGATGAAGAAAAAACAGAGTAGTACCAATCTGCGAAATTTCCGCATGTTTGGATTTCTACGCAAAGGTCCAAAACCAAGAAGTATTGGAATTTTTCTCTTCATGAACCGCAAGACATGAAACACAACAAATCCATATGTAGCACTTCTAATGAGGAACCAAAGAAACCACTTAAATTCATCTGTCTTTCTAGAGTTAAAGTTAATTTCGGCTTTAGATTGCCATTCCAAGTACCATGTTGAGCCAACAGATTGATCAATATACTCTGGCCATGCCATCCCCAACCGCATCCTCAACTGTAATTTGAATGGCAATAACAATCAGAAAAATAGATAAAGAAAGAAATATAAGGAACAAATAAGATTAAAAGCTAAGTACGTGTCTAAGTGAGGAACCATATAATGAGTTATACCGGGTAAGGAATGATAAGCTCAAGGAGAGGAAACACAATCAACATCATTAAGTCATCATTTGTATTTCTAATATTCTCAGAAATCCAATGTCTCCAAGTTGATACAGTTCTTGACTTCCGAACTCCATTAAAGCACTGATGAACCAGCCTCACTGCCAACATGAACTGTTGACCAAAATCCAACTCTGATAAGGGAATCCACATCAGCTGAATGCTAGTTGGAATATTACAGGCAAGCATTTTCATGTAGAGTCCATCAAACCCGCCAAAATTCTCAAATAGCATTTCAAACTCCTGCAATAAGAATTATATTAGAAACATAAGAATGATAGCTCATAAGGTGATATAGAGCAGATAATATACAAGTACAACCTTAAGGTCAACATATAATTCCTTATCATCCCCTTTTAGTGCAATATACATGGCACCCCAGTCATGCCTGATTCTGGCATTGTCTACTAGCTTTTTGGACACAGCATAAGGAACAGCCATTGGATCCATTTCCCACCTGTCTTTCTCTTCATTGTACCATGTATTTGAGACCACTCTATCTCGATCCAGAAGAATACGTTCCTGGAATGACAAAATAGTAAATGGTTAATAAAATAAAACCACCAAAAGAAATTAATATCAGACACAAATGAATGCTTTTGACATTAGCCCAAAAAACAGTCAACAGGAAAAAAAAAAAAAACTGTCTGACTGAATACTATGAATAAGCTAAAGAGAAAACATAAAGCAGCTATTATCATTACTACTTTAAGAAACCATGGGCAAAATCTCTACGTGAGTTGCAGACGCTTCAAGTAAATTGGACTTAATTTGTTCGTCCAAATTGGCATTCCTTCGTGGCAAACTAGGTCATATAACATAGANACCTATTAGTCAATATTAGAATAAGTCTTTAGATGAAGAAAAAACAGAGTAGTACCAATCTGCGAAATTTCCGCATGTTTGGATTTCTACGCAAAGGTCCAAAACCAAGAAGTATTGGAATTTTTCTCTTCATGAACCGCAAGACATGAAACACAACAAATCCATATGTAGCACTTCTAATGAGGAACCAAAGAAACCACTTAAATTCATCTGTCTTTCTAGAGTTAAAGTTAATTTCGGCTTTAGATTGCCATTCCAAGTACCATGTTGAGCCAACAGATTGATCAATATACTCTGGCCATGCCATCCCCAACCGCATCCTCAACTGTAATTTGAATGGCAACAACAATCAGAAAAATAGATAAAGAAAGAAATATAAGGAACAAATAAGATTAAAAGCTAAGTACGTGTCTAAGTGAGGAACCATATAATGAGTTATACCGGGTAAGGAATGATAAGCTCAAGGAGAGGAAACACAATCAACATCATTAAGTCATCATTTGTATTTCTAATATTCTCAGAAATCCAATGTCTCCAAGTTGATACAGTTCTTGACTTCCGAACTCCATTAAAGCACTGATGAACCAGCCTCACTGCCAACATGAACTGTTGACCAAAATCCAACTCTGATAAGGGAATCCACATCAGCTGAATGCTAGTTGGAATATTACAGGCAAGCATTTTCATGTAGAGTCCATCAAACCCGCCAAAATTCTCAAATAGCATTTCAAACTCCTGCAATAAGAATTATATTAGAAACATAAGAATGATAGCTCATAAGGTGATATAGAGCAGATAATATACAAGTACAACCTTAAGGTCAACATATAATTCCTTATCATCCCCTTTTAGTGCAATATACATGGCACCCCAGTCATGCCTGATTCTGGCATTGTCTACTAGCTTTTTGGACACAGCATAAGGAACAGCCATTGGATCCATTTCCCACCTGTCTTTCTCTTCATTGTACCATGTATTTGAGACCACTCTATCTCGATCCAGAAGAATACGTTCCTGGAATGACAAAATAGTAAATGGTTAATAAAATAAAACCACCAAAAGAAATTAATATCAGACACAAATGAATGCTTTTGACATTAGCCCAAAAAACAGTCAACAGGAAAAAAAAAAAAAACTGTCTGACTGAATACTATGAATAAGCTAAAGAGAAAACATAAAGCAGCTATTATCATTACTACTTTAAGAAACCATGGGCAAAATCTCTACGTGAGTTGCAGACGCTTCAAGTAAATTGGACTTAATTTGTTCGTCCAAATTGGCATTCCTTCGTGGCAAACTAGGTCATATAACATAGAAAATTTCATTACTGTTTACCTGTCTTTGGGCCACATACTGTTTACCAAATTCAACATTTTCTAATAAGCTCCTTTTTAGGTCTGCTTTAGCCTCTTCACGCCATGTCTTCCAACCATGGTACAAATGAAGGCCAATGGCTTTAGGAACCACAATTTCTTTATCACCAAACATCCATTTCAACTCAACTTCTGGAAATCCCTTCACAACCTCATCTTCAGGTGTTTTTACAACAGAACGATTTTCATTGCCAAATTTTTTCATATCTCTTCTTATTCGAGCCTCCAGATCCCTCTGCAGCTCCCTTGAATCTTCAAGACACTGTTTAATACGAAGAGCAAAATCAGTTGAATCCTGATCAAATAAAGGTCCAATATCTTCAATTTCGACAACACTAGGCAAAATCACTTGCTCCAAGTGTTTTCTTTGTGCAGTCTCCAATTCTTTCTGAATTTCAGACCTTGAAAGCTTTGTAAAAGAGTTCTTCTCCTGACTGAAACCACATAAACCATGCTCACATAAGGAAAAGAAACTCCAGAAAGCACTAGAGGAGATACACATATAGCTGTATACCCTGATTTTCAATCAAGCAAGACTCTAGAAGGACTAATAAACTGATACCAGTTCATGATGATCGAAGTCCAATACTGAAAAATAACAAAAGATAAATAAATAAAGTCTTCAGTTTCACAATATTCACAGAGTCATTCATGATATAAAAATTCCAAATGCAAGAAACACACAAAGATACCATAAATTAAAACATAAAGCAATGTAAACTCCCTAGAACACATACTGATCAGAGTTTACAGCTCAAAATCGCTCAATCTCATTTTAACCATTACAAATGCTCCATCTCATTAATAGAACTACAACACAATCAAGCCAAATGGAAACCTATGAGGCCATAATTATATTTCATACAAATATATCTTAAACAACGCCACTAAAAGAAAAACCCCTCGAAAGCAAAATACTGAATATCATCAAATTTTACCTTTCAATGCTCTTTCTCCTCATTTCACGAATAAACCTCTCAACTAAATCCACACACTCTCTCTCAATAAAACTAATCTCCCTCACCCCAACACTGAATGCTAATGTCTCTCTCCTCAAAATCGCATCCTCTATCTCGCCAATTCTCTCCCATGCGTCCCCATACTCCCTGTCCATCCTCCCAATTCTCTCCAACTTCTCTGCCCTTTTCTCCCCTTTTGCCTTCTCAGCCTCTCTCTGAACCTTCGAAACTTCATCCACAATCTCCTCTGTTCGCTTCATTAACTCTTCCTTCTCGCTTTTGAGTTCCCTCAATTCCTTATACAATCCACCCATAATCTCATCTTGCAATTCATCTTTTCTCACCTTCACCGCCTTCAACGCCAATTTCGCACCTTCTATGCCCCCATTTCCTCTTCTAACCTCCTCTATAACCCTCAACAAACTCGATACCGTCTCCAACAATCTTCTCGTACAGTCTGAGTACTCATGATCCTTTGATTTCAACACCACCGCAATTTCCTTCCCTTTATCTTTTTTATTCAAAATCTTTTCAGTCGCTACCGGGGCAGCAACTGCCGGAACCTTAAATGAAACAACCGGAGAGAAACTAACAGCAATACAAAATATCGTATACACTATACACTTGGTAACAGAAACAACTGATTCTGCGCTTCCATTTGAAGTTCTGGAGGCTTCTAGACTCTTTATTTCCTTTCCCTGGCAACATTGCGGGGCTCTGGATGTCTCCGGAGAGCTGAATCTGAAGAAACTACGGGCAAATGGAAAGAATTGAGGGGTTTTGCATGAAAAAATTCGGACTTTGGAGCGCAGTTTCGGGGAGAGTTGGCGAAATGTGGGGGTTGGCTGCGGCGGAGAGAAGTGGGAAGCGAACGGAGAGGGAAGTGAGGAAGAAATGAAAATAGAGTCCATGGGAGAAGGAAGCTAGGGGAGGCGCATGGATAAAAAGGTGAGGGGAAAGTTGGGGATCATTTTAGAAATTTGGTGAAGATTTTCGCGGGGAAGACTGAAACGGAGAAGTTCTGAGAATTAGGGAGGTTTAGGAGTGAAGATGAAGAGTGAGTGATGATGGGTCAGGTTTTGAACTGGACCGGATAATACGAAGTTGGGTATGTTCGGGTACTAGGACAATCCTTACTGGCCCGGTAACCGTAGTGCACAGTAGGTTATAAACCGGTAGTTTTTTTGTTTTTTTTTTTTTTTTTAAAAATGAAGAAGAGTGGCATCCCAGCTTACGTACACCTCAATTAATATCTAAAACCTTAAAATTATCGATCAAGTAATCAAGAAGATACTCAAACTTAATACATTTTAAGTGAAAAATTCTCATCAAAATACTCAATCATCCAAAGATAGTTACGATCCGTTACTTTATCATTCCATTATCTTTCGTTATTAATCCCTACTTTTATATTTTATTTTTGTAATAAGTTTTTTATGTAAACCCCCATTTGTTTAAGCTTTTGTGAGGCACCCGTTTGTTTCAAAAATTCAATTTTAATCCCTATGAGTTTCGCTCTTTTAGTGAGTACCAATTACTTTTGAAAATCCACCTAACACCCATTTTTTTAACGAATCATTAGGTTATTCTATTTAACTTTGAAGGAAATAACGTTTACACTATTCACCCAAATTTGATTAATCTAACATTCAAATACGTCAACAATGTTGAAAGGTTAACATATTTTTTAGAGGTTGGATTAATGAAATATTTGATAAATTTAAAGGTTAAATTGATTATATTTTTGAAATCAGTAGGTTATCACTATAAAAAAAAAAAAAAAAAAAAAAAAAAAAAATTAATATGTATTTTAATATTTTTTATATTTAAAAATGTGTTTGATATAAAATTTAAAAACTGTTTTAAGATTAAAAACTATAGAAACTTTGAAAACATCTTTTAATCGTTTTCTAATTTTACATTAGTTTTTATTCGAAAACTGTTTTTGAAAAACATTTTTACTCATTTTTATAAAACACATTTTCATAAAATTTGTTATATCCCTCGTTTTCAAAAACAAAAACAAAAAAATTATATTTAAATTCTATATCAAACAGATCATTGGTGTTCCTAATATAAGAAACCAAGTTAGGATTCTAACTTTGTATCCCAAACTATGTGTAATGATTAAGTTAGATCTCCTTGATTATAAATTGATGAGATATGTTCAACTTACGACGTGTTTGGGAGCCTTTGTACAAACAAGTATTTTATGGAGAACCGACAAAGGAATTCAATTAATAACTTGCTATTTTGATTATTTAAAGCAACTCGATGAATTTTGTAAATCTTTTTAGGAAAACACAATGCCCATAGATTTAACTTATCAAACTTTTACAATATAACACAACCAACAGTTTAGATGAAGAAAAAACAGAGTAGTACCAATCTGCGAAATTTCCGCATGTTTGGATTTCTACGCAAAGGTCCAAAACCAAGAAGTATTGGAATTTTTCTCTTCATGAACCGCAAGACATGAAACACAACAAATCCATATGTAGCACTTCTAATGAGGAACCAAAGAAACCACTTAAATTCATCTGTCTTTCTAGAGTTAAAGTTAATTTCGGCTTTAGATTGCCATTCCAAGTACCATGTTGAGCCAACAGATTGATCAATATACTCTGGCCATGCCATCCCCAACCGCATCCTCAACTGTAATTTGAATGGCAACAACAATCAGAAAAATAGATAAAGAAAGAAATATAAGGAACAAATAAGATTAAAAGCTAAGTACGTGTCTAAGTGAGGAACCATATAATGAGTTATACCGGGTAAGGAATGATAAGCTCAAGGAGAGGAAACACAATCAACATCATTAAGTCATCATTTGTATTTCTAATATTCTCAGAAATCCAATGTCTCCAAGTTGATACAGTTCTTGACTTCCGAACTCCATTAAAGCACTGATGAACCAGCCTCACTGCCAACATGAACTGTTGACCAAAATCCAACTCTGATAAGGGAATCCACATCAGCTGAATGCTAGTTGGAATATTACAGGCAAGCATTTTCATGTAGAGTCCATCAAACCCGCCAAAATTCTCAAATAGCATTTCAAACTCCTGCAATAAGAATTATATTAGAAACATAAGAATGATAGCTCATAAGGTGATATAGAGCAGATAATATACAAGTACAACCTTAAGGTCAACATATAATTCCTTATCATCCCCTTTTAGTGCAATATACATGGCACCCCAGTCATGCCTGATTCTGGCATTGTCTACTAGCTTTTTGGACACAGCATAAGGAACAGCCATTGGATCCATTTCCCACCTGTCTTTCTCTTCATTGTACCATGTATTTGAGACCACTCTATCTCGATCCAGAAGAATACGTTCCTGGAATGACAAAATAGTAAATGGTTAATAAAATAAAACCACCAAAAGAAATTAATATCAGACACAAATGAATGCTTTTGACATTAGCCCAAAAAACAGTCAACAGGAAAAAAAAAAAAAACTGTCTGACTGAATACTATGAATAAGCTAAAGAGAAAACATAAAGCAGCTATTATCATTACTACTTTAAGAAACCATGGGCAAAATCTCTACGTGAGTTGCAGACGCTTCAAGTAAATTGGACTTAATTTGTTCGTCCAAATTGGCATTCCTTCGTGGCAAACTAGGTCATATAACATAGAAAATTTCATTACTGTTTACCTGTCTTTGGGCCACATACTGTTTACCAAATTCAACATTTTCTAATAAGCTCCTTTTTAGGTCTGCTTTAGCCTCTTCACGCCATGTCTTCCAACCATGGTACAAATGAAGGCCAATGGCTTTAGGAACCACAATTTCTTTATCACCAAACATCCATTTCAACTCAACTTCTGGAAATCCCTTCACAACCTCATCTTCAGGTGTTTTTACAACAGAACGATTTTCATTGCCAAATTTTTTCATATCTCTTCTTATTCGAGCCTCCAGATCCCTCTGCAGCTCCCTTGAGTCTTCAAGACACTGTTTAATACGAACAGCAAAATCAGTTGAATCCTGATCAAATAAAGGTCCAATATCTTCAATTTCGACAACACTAGGCAAAATCATTTGCTCCAAGTGTTTTCTTTGTGCAGTCTCCAATTCTTTCTGAATTTCAGACCTTGAAAGCTTTGTAAAAGAGTTCTTCTCCTGACTGAAACCACATAAACCATGCTCACATAAGGAAAAGAAACTCCAGAAAGCACTAGAGGAGATACACATATATACCCTGATTTTCAATCAAGCAAGACTCTAGAAGGACTAATACACTGATACCAGTTCATGATGATCGAAGTCCAATACTGAAAAATAACAAAAGATAAATAAATAAAGTCTTCAGTTTCACAATATTCACAGAGTCATTCATGATATAAAAATTCCAAATGCAAGAAACACACAAAGATACCATAAATTAAAACATAAAGCAATGTAAACTCCCTAGAACACATACTGATCAGAGTTTACAGCTCAAAATCGCTCAATCTCATTTTAACCATTACAAATGCTCCATCTCATTAATAGAACTACAACACAATCAAGCCAAATGGAAACCTATGAGGCCATAATTATATTTCATACAAATATATCTTAAACAACGCCACTAAAAGAAAAACCCCTCGAAAGCAAAATACTGAATATCATCAAATTTTACCTTTCAATGCTCTTTCTCCTCATTTCACGAATAAACCTCTCAACTAAATCCACACACTCTCTCTCAATAAAACTAATCTCCCTCACCCCAACACTGAATGCTAATGTCTCTCTCCTCAAAATCGCATCCTCTATCTCGCCAATTCTCTCCCATGCGTCCCCATACTCCCTGTCCATCCTCCCAATTCTCTCCAACTTCTCTGCCCTTTTCTCCCCTTTTGCCTTCTCAGCCTCTCTCTGAACCTTCGAAACTTCATCCACAATCTCCTCTGTTCGCTTCATTAACTCTTCCTTCTCGCTTTTGAGTTCCCTCAATTCCTTATACAATCCACCCATAATCTCATCTTGCAATTCATCTTTTCTCACCTTCACCGCCTTCAACGCCAATTTCGCACCTTCTATGCCCCCATTTCCTCTTCTAACCTCCTCTATAACCCTCAACAAACTCGATACCGTCTCCAACAATCTTCTCGTACAGTCTGAGTACTCATGATCCTTTGATTTCAACACCACCGCAATTTCCTTCCCTTTATCTTTTTTATTCAAAATCTTTTCAGTCGCTACCGGGGCAGCAACTGCCGGAACCTTAAATGAAACAACCGGAGAGAAACTAACAGCAATACAAAATATCGTATACACTATACACTTGGTAACAGAAACAACTGATTCTGCGCTTCCATTTGAAGTTCTGGAGGCTTCTAGACTCTTTATTTCCTTTCCATGGCAACATTGCGGGGCTCTGGATGTCTCCGGAGAGCTGAATTTGAAGAAACTACGGGCAAATGGAAAGAATTGAGGGGTTTTGCATGAAAAAATTCGGACTTTGGAGCGCAGTTTCGGGGAGAGTTGGCGAAATGTGGGGGTTGGCTGCGGCGGAGAGAAGTGGGAAGCGAACGGAGAGGGAAGTGAGGAAGAAATGAAAATAGAGTCCATGGGAGAAGGAAGCTAGGGGAGGCGCGTGGATAAAAAGGTGAGGGGAAAGTTGGGGGTCATTTTAGAAATTTGGTGAAGATTTTCGCGGGGAAGAATGAAACGGAGAAGTTCTGAGAATTAGGGAGGTTTAGGAGTGAAGATGAAGAGTGACTGATGATGGGTCAGGTTTTGAACTGGACCGGATAATACGAAGTTGGGCATGTTCAGGTACTGGGACAATCCTTACTGGCCCGGTAACCCTAGTGCACAGTAAGTTATAAACCGGTAGTTTTATTATTTTTTTTTTTTTAAATGAAGAGGAGTGGTCATCTTAGCTTACACACAACTCAATTAATCCCTAAAACCTTAAAATTATCGATCAAGTAATCAATAAGAGACTCGAACTCAAGACTTTTTAAGTGAAAAATTCACATCAAAATACTCAATTATCCAAAGATAATTATGATTCGTTGCCTTACCGTTCCATTATCTTTCGTTATTAATCCTTATTTTTATATTTTATTTTTGTAATAAGTTTTTTATGTAAACCCCCATTTGTTTAAGCTTTTGTGAGCACCCGCTTGTTTCATAAATGAAATTTTAATCCATATGAGTTTAGCGATCTATTTTGAGAATAGGATTGAGAATATGGATAATAATGGGTGCGTTTGGCAGGATATTTTTATCCATATTTTGAAATAAATTTTGGAAATAGCGTTTGTTTCATTATTTGGACGATGGAATCTTTAAAATCTTATCCTGCCACTTTTCTGACGGCTTTTAATGCATGGACAGTAAAGAGAGAAGAAACCCAAATGCTTTACTAAAATTTTCTCTAAGTTTGTGACCATGAAATTGTATAATTTTCATAATATTTATTTTGTTAGATGAAAAGAAACCCGAGAAAGTTTAATATCAAATGAATCTACATAATCTAAAAACCCATAGTACCCATCTATTATCAATACGCAATCATTACCTATCCTAATTTAGTCCAACTTCATTAAAAATGTATTTAAATTATTAAAAAATGATTATAAGGGTTAATAATTAGTACTTTTGTCATATATATATATATATTAATGTGATGTTTTTAAATAGTTAGATTAGTACTTGAAATTAATTTGAGTTTTTATTTTTTAATATTTACGAGTGACAAAATTACTAATAAAATGTTTAATATTATTAAAATGTAAATTGATAAGTTATATATATAATAATACCTTATTTTAACAAAATGCAACAAAATATTATATCAATAAATCATTTATAAAAAAACATATTAATCAAATATTCAACACAAATATCAAGGTCAAAGTACTCTACCAAACACATATTCTGTAAATCATATTCTCGTAATCATAACGTCTTGATCTAAATCTTTTGCTAAAATAAAGGTACTTTTAATACAAAAATTTTGTATACAAATATGGGCCTTGGATAATTTATAATTAATGTATTGTTGACTATTTGCTCCGTATATCTCTCTTTTGTTTTTTCATAATATTGGTTGGAATTAATCCTTCTCTTATCCAGTTTTGATCTGCTTCAGTGTCTACTAGGGCTTGTGTAATAATATTAACTCATGATTAATTGATCCTAATTAACATGTCATTTTTGAAATTGAATTCTAGAATTTCATTAATAATGCTTCTTCAGTTTCTTTAATCTGTAATCCTGATTTTGAGGTTGATGGTTGTCCTCCAGTTTCTTTGGAGGCTTTTAAACATAATAAACCTGTCTTGATTTCAATTTATCGTTTTGTAATTCTTTAACTTGATTTTTCAGAATATTGATTTCTTCTTGTAAATCACTTAATGACTTGTGTGGGTTTATCAAATCTTTTTAATATGTCTTTTAAGTTATAAGAATCTACATCTTTTTGTTTTTTGTCTGATAAAATTAATTCTTTGAGTTTTAATAAATATTCTCTTTTAATTCTTCGTCCTATTTTGTCAATAATTCTATAAAATTCTTTTGATTTGGTAATAACATTTATTGACTTAGATTTAGATTTTGATATCTATTTATTGATTTCATTGCGATACTATTATGCAATTTTGTAAAGACTGGCTCTATATATCTAAGGGTTTCCTACTAAAGAATTATTGATGTTTGTGTCAGAATTATCTTGACTTAGGCTTATAATTGAGGGGTAAAACGTCGTTGAGTGGTAGTAGTTCAAGGATACTTTGGTGTGAGATTATGTTGGGATTCTAATGTCAAGTTTTTACTTTGTTTTTAGTGGGACATTTAAAAGCACGTGTCCTACTTGTTTACATTCCAACATTTTTTATTCTTTTATTTTTTTATTATAATAAGAAAGTTTTCTTTTTTTATACCTTTGTTCTTTATTGGGTTGATTTGAAAGGCCATTAATGTTTGATTTGGAAGATGATAATTCACTAAGTTTTTACTATTATTTCTAAAATATTATGTGTGATTATTAAATTTAATAATTTCCTCTTTGGAATGTCAAAGGGTTCAAAAAATGGTTTAACATATTTTTGTGAATAAAGGGGTGTTGAAGTTGATGTAAAGTTGATGTGATTCCAAAGTTGGTGAATTTGTTGAATTTTCTATATCTCCTTCCGGGGGTTTTTGAAATTTTTGTAATTATTGGGGATATTATATCTATTCTATTCATTTGTTGACTAATGGTGTGGAGAATTTGATTAAGTAATTGTTTTGATGTTGAATATTTTAATGTCTCTAAAGTTGGTTGCTTTTGATCATCATCAATTCTATTAATTTTTTTAAATGGTGATGCTATTATTTTTCTGCTTGTTGATGTTCATTTTAATTTCTTCTAAGGATAGATGATAGATGTAATAGTTTTATTTGTTGTTGTTTGCCAATTTTTTTGTTGCATTAGTGGTAAAAAAATAGTTTTCTTTTCACTTAAATCTTGATAACATTTTCTATTTCTAACCAATTAAAGAAATAAATATTTGTTTTAATTTTTCTTGTGTATTGTACCATCAGATCTAAGTTATTTTGTTCTTTTGGACTAAATTTTGTAAAGAATATTTGTCGTTTTTCTTTATTTAATCTTGTAAGAATTCTTTTTAATAATTCTTTGTCAATTCAAGGTTTGTTATTGTGTTATTTGATTATAGTTTCCTAATACTTCTGATTGTGTTGGTGACCTGAGTAGACTGATTGTGTTTTCGTATGCAGGTTTTGGTACAGGAGTGGATAATTTACTCCTACTAATTCACTTTGTGAAGTTGTTTGACGAAAGGCTAGGTGTTGTAATTTCTTCAATCCTAGGGTTGTGGTGATTTTTTTAGTAACTATGGGTTGATTTTGTTCTAGGATGTTTCTCTAAATTTTAATTTTATTGTACCGTCTGTTCTTGTATTTTGTTGTATTTCAGATTCATTTCGATCATGTAAAGGTTTTGGAGGGCATAATTTTTCTAGTTTCCAATCTTTTGTTTAATAATTTCATCCCAAGTTAATCTTTTTGGTGTAAAGTTTTATGTTTTGTTTTATCGCTCCATAATAACAGTGTTGTCCTGGTGGGGACATCCTAAGGCTCTTGGATTTATTGTGGTATTCATAACTTTGTAATAATCCTATATATAATGCTACTATGTTGGGCTTTATCTTGATAAGTAAGATTAGAAGCTTTTAATTAAGTTTAATGAAGATAGTATTGTGGGATCATGTAAACCTACTGTAAAGTTTGGGTAACATAAAAATAAACGGGACCACTTTCTAAATTAGAATTTAATACTGCTAATAAGATTATTGAAGTTTAAATTCTCTGCGTCCTAATATTACTAATATTGGAATGTTTTTGTCCTAATCTAAATATGGTTTTACTGCTACTGTACTAATCCTATGTGTAAAATTTATAGTTGTTTTGTCTATGTCTGTGTATTGCTTCTTCAGAAAGAAGTTGAATTTCTTCAACCCTTTCTTCGGTTATCATTATTGTATCTTCTGTTGTTTTAATAGAGTAATCTGACATAAATTCAAAACTACCTATTTGATATATTGTCTTTTTTAACTGGTGGTATCCAGAATTTTGGAGGAGGAGGAGTATTGATTGAAATTGCCAACTCATTCGGAAATTAAGAAATTCTGGAAAAAGCTAGCAAGGGTCTTCACTGTTGTTGAAATTTTTTGTAAATAAGTGATATCTTTCCAAGACCGAAGGTGGAAAGATTTTTTTCATTTAAACCAAAAAATTAAACCATTGTTGAAACCATTTTGGAAATGTTTTTGGACAAGTTTTTTCAAAAATGAAAACTAGAGTGTGTTGTATGAGTTAAACAAAAAAATTCAACACCAATTCAAAAATCACAGAAAATTTCAGTGAAAAGAAAACTATCTAATTATGTAGCAAGATTTTTTCCAAGACCTTAGAAAATTAGGTGAACCATTATACCAAATAGTTAGAAAATCAAATCCAAAATTAAATTTCTTCCTTGTCTTAGTATATTGAATCCACAGCCTATCCTATTTAGAAACTGATGCCTCTGATATAGGTTATGGCGGAATATTAAACAAAATTAGAAATAAAAAGTCTAGTTAGGTTCCTTCTGGAGTCTGGCTCGGTGCTTAAAAAAATTATTCAACCATAAAAAAGGAAGTTTTATCAATTGTTTATTGCATTACAAAATTTCAAGATGATTTGGTTAATAAAGATTTTTATTCGACAGATTCTTCTGCATCAAAATTTATTTTGAAAAGATGTAAAAAATTTAGTTTTCAAAACAAATTTTCGCCAGATGGCAAGCAATACTGTCTTGTTTTGACTTTGAAATGAACACATCAAGGACACAATAATTCTTACCTGATTTTCTTTTTCCGTGAATTCTACAGGGAAAGAAAAAGTTGAGTGATAAGAGAGTGAGTGACGAAAGTAATTAGTGAAAGGCACTCCCATCAAAGTTATAATTCTCAAAGAGAAAAACCCTTAACAATTTTCAAAAATCAAAAAATGTTTTTACTATTGTCCAAAATCGTCATCTTTCTCAAAAGAAAAACAATCACAGAAAATTTCAAAAAATGTTTTTACTATTCTTCATGACTCCCAATTGATGATTTTTTGGCATTATCTCAATATCTTAAAACCAACACCAATTCAATTAGCCGAAGCCTTACCCATTTCTTCAAAAGCCATTGACAAAATAATTCTTGAAACCGAAATTCGTGCCAAAAAGGTCCTCATGAAATATAAGACGCACATCCACAGAATCATTTAGTTTGTGGGCTTCTTCTCTTTTTATAACCTTCAACATCAACATCAGAAAACAATAATTATATTCAACAATTAATCACAGCTGAAAGAGGCAGCTGAATTAGTCGAGGCCGATGATTACGAAGGAGAGATGATTTTTAGTTCTTAAGTTCGAGACAATTCTCAACACTTTGAAGACAGTGATTCAGATAATTTTCTTTCGGGCAATTCTCAAGAGTCTCATTTTGAGGATTCTCAATTTAAAGATGACTAAGAGGCATGACTCAGCATTGCCTTTGTCCAATTTTCAACATTTGCAAGATTTTTTTTAGACTATCTTTATGAAATGTTCAAAGTTTTATCACGTAGCTTCTGCAATAATTTCATATCTCAAAATTCAAAAATTTCGGCGTTGACAATTCTTCCCCAGTCAACTTTATCTCTTGCCCAGAAGCAAATTAGTCAAGATTTTCTGCAAAAATTAAAAGACATCAAGACTTCTTCAAAACAAATCCTTTCACGTGGCTTTTGCAAAGATTTTCAACAATTTCAAGACATATTTTGTCAAGCTCCCCTGACAACAAGCAAGACTTTCAAGATATCTTTTAATGAGCCTTATCAGTTTGTCTACCATTTTCAGAGTAGATCATCAATAATTCAAGACACGTATCCAAGACAGCTCATCACTTATCAACAACTTTATCTTTTTCCTGTATTGCATTAATGTAACGGATTCAAATGTTTTTGAAATCCGATCGTTTGTAGTATAAATATTGATCACTTCCGTTGTAAGTGTCAAGTTTTTTGGAAAGTTTTTAGGAAGTTTTTTAAAAGTTTTTTAGAAGTCACAAAAAGTCATTAAGTTTTAGAAGTTTTCAAACACTTGAGAGAGAAAGTTTCCTCTCGTGTACAAACTATCAAAGCAATAAAGTTGTAAGTTTCTTCAACATTTTACTTGACTTATTTTTCTTTGCATTTATTTACAATAGTCTTTGCATTTACTTTGTTTTTATTAACTTGACTTCAATTTATTTTAATTCATTCATTTACTTTTCTTTCAATTACGTTGTTTTTTAAAGATCCTGTTATAAATGGTATCAGAGCCAAGTAGTGTCAATAGAAGTTCTGAAACCAATTAATACTCACTTAAAAGGATCAAACAAATAAGTGTTGATGTTGCATTTTCAAGACCAACGGGTGCTCACTAAAAAGGCCAAACATACAAGGTTTTATTAAAAAAAATAAAAATAACTTTTTTAAATATAAATAAATTAAAAGAGAAATTCAGGGAGGGTGAAATGTAATAATATATTGAAAGAGGGATTGAAGTGATCTAAAAGAAGAAGAAAGGGGCCTGTTTATGATTCAAAAACTATAATACTATTCAAAATTTTAATATGTATTTTAATATTTTTTATATTTAAAAATGTATTTGATATAAAATTTAAAAAGTGTTTTAAGATTAAAGACTATAGAAACTTTGAAAACATCTTTTAATCATTTTCTAATTTTACATTAGTTTTTATTTGAAAACTGTTTTTGAAAAACATTTTTACTCATTTTTATAAAACACATTTTCATAAAATTTGTTATATCCCCCGTTTTCAAAAACAAAAAAAACAAAAAATTATATTTAAATTCTATATCAAACAGATCATTGGTGTTCCTAATATAAGAAACCAAGTTAGGATTCTAACTTTGTATCTCAAACCACGTGTAATGATTAGGCCAGGTCTCCTTGATTATAAACGATGAGATATCTTTAGCTTACGACGTGTTTGGGAGCCTTTGTACAAACAAGTATTTTATGGAGAACCAAAAAAGGAATTCAATTAATAACTTGCTATTTTGATTATTTAAAGCAACTCGATGAATTTTGTAAATCTTTTTAGGAAAACACAATGCCCATAGATTTAACTTATCAAACTTTTACTTGGTCATGGATTAGTTGTACCTACCATTTCTTTTTTGGGGTCAATATCAGCAATGCAATTTGTCCAACAATAAACCTAATATGAATTAGAGAGCCATGACACAAATCAAACCTAAACAAACAAAATGTTGAATTGAATCGTACAAGTCTCTACGGGGGGAGTTGTTACTCATTTTCGTCCGTTTTATTTTCCAATTATTTCTTCCCCACAATTTCAAAGACACTAATACCATATCAAAGCAAATTATCATACCACAATGGTCTATGTTATTTCTAAAACCTTAGGGGAGATTTCTGTATTATATCATAGTTCAATGGTCTATGTCTTTAACGTTAATATAATTATTGCATAAGCTATTCATATTAAACAAAAATAAATGTCAACATGAAAATTTCAAGAATAGCGGGATGAAGACCCATTTTTAGGTAAAAGGCCATAGTAATAGTTATTTATTTTGTTATTTTAAATTGGTTAAAATGTAATTGTTATGATAAGTAACATGTTATATAGATTAAGGATGTCACATTTTACATTATAACATGGACGTGCACATCACATATAGTGATTTTAATTAATCTAAAAAGTTAGATAAGTCGGTAAAAATAAAATAAATTCTTTAGGTTTTAAAATGATTCAGTGGAAGAATGTCTGTAAGAAAAACCTAAAATTTTCATTATTGATCTATTTTAAGCTATCGTGTGCCCTCAACTTGGTCGTCATTTATTAACGAGCAAGCAATAATTGTTGTCTAAGATTTGATCTCTTCCAGTAAGTTGTGATCACATAGATTTAAGGTTAAAATTCAACTAAATAAATAAATTTTTGACATTTAGTTTACACATTTAACGGCCAAATTTGACATAAAGGGGTGTATGTGGTAGTTTTCGGAGTTAGTGGTGGTCAAGTGGGAGTTTGTGATGTTTTGGGAGTGAAAAATTACCCGATTAGATATTTGTAAAAGAGTAAACGACATGCTCCCACGCTAACAACTGCGAATCGCCAAATTCCACCCCTAATTTCATAAATTCCAAATTCCTACCCTTAATTTAACATAAAATTATTTAATATAACAGTCAAAGGATAAAATGATCATTTGTTGGGAGAGAAAGAAGAGGAAGGATCCAAAAAACTCCTTCAACTCAATCTCTTCACCTTTCGCTTTCCATCATCTTTGCCAACATCGTCGACCGTTTTCCGATCCTTTCCGGTGGTTGTGTCTGCCCAGCCACTGGTCGGACTTGCCTAGCCTAGATCTAGTCATGACTATCCATCTTCCTCTAGCATTTACCCATTTTTTTCTCTTCCCACGCGACTTTCACCTTTGTCATGAGTGCAGTGCACCAACCGCCTAATTCAGGCGTTGTTAGACAACCCCCATCACCACACACCAAATCCCCTCTCACCCCTACCCACGATAAACCCTCAATCGTCAGCCACTGCACATCTAAGGTTCACTTGATTTTGACATTTTTTGGTCGATTCCGGCAATAGAAATCCCTCCTATCATCGCCATTCACCTCACGAGTCTCCCCTCACAAAAACACCTTCCATCCCCTGACAAACGTCTGGTTGCCGGTCACCATCTGTCACTTCCCCATCTCTTTGCGCAACAGTTGGGTTTGGGTTGGTTTAGAGCCTTCATTTGGAGTTCGATTTGCTGGTTTTTTGTTGTGTTTTGGAGTGAATTTGATATGTTGATTGATTGTGGGTTTTTTCTATATGTTTTCCCGTCGCCAGCTGTTGATTTTCCTTATCACTATCGTTGCCTACAACCTACTTGACGTATTGTCCCAACCAACTCCCAGCTAGCTCTACGCGCAACTCTCCCCCTATGCGCACAACTAACCAAGGGTAATTAGGTAATAACACCCTCTAGTCATTGATGATGTTCGATTAAGGGTGGGAATATGAAATTTATGAAACTAGGGGTGGAAATTCCAATTCGTGATAGTTAGGGTGGGAGCATGTCGTTTACTCTTTATAAAATTAAAATCTTAATGAGGGTAGATGATATTTTATATTTTTTAAAGTTATTTAATAAGTTTATATTATAGAAAAAGGTTGAGCATGTGAAGTGCACTTAACATTATGTCAGCCTACTTTGTATTAAATTAAACTGCATTTGATAAGAACTTTTCTAAATTTGGAATTCAAATTAGATTTAAATAACCATAATCCATTAATCGAATGTCAAATAATATTAACTTAAAATTTCCATAAATAAGTATAATACAATTTTAAAAATATTACATAACTTTATATTGAAGAAAAAGCAAAAAATAGTTGATAATTTAAAAAAAGAAATTAATTTCCGTTAAAAAATAATAATCATATAATTAATAAATAAATGGAATTTAAATCTAAACTTAAAAAAAAAACAAAACAAAAACACTTGGAAAGAGTTACCAAAACCCGACCAAACAAACAAATACAAGAAAATCTTCGTTTTCTTAACAAAAATTTCTCTTTCCCAAGTTTTGTTCACTGTAAGAAAAATATTAAAAATAAAAATTTTCCCTCCTCTGACTTCTCAGCCGAGTCGACTCACTCTGCCTCGCTCAAATCCCTAGTCTCCTCTCTCTGTCTCTCCGGTGAGTTCATACTTTCAGTCAAACTCGCACTCCTATTTTCGGTATTTATTTACTTATTTATATATTTATTTATTTTAGTTGTAGTCCTCTTTTTGATTCATGTTTTTCGTACGGAGTTTAATTTCGTGTAGTTGAAGTCTATAAAACTGTCGTCTTATTCTTCTGATGGATTTGTTGCTGTGATTTTGTTTTATGTGGATCTGTTGAAGTTAATGTTAATGGTTTTAGCGGGAGCAAAGTGGAGTATATGGTAATTGGTGTTTTTTAATTAGGGTTTAGGAGGTAGTTTGTTATGCTTTTGAAAGCGGATTGGGGTTTTTTTCCAGAAGTGTGCATTGCTTTTGAAAGCAACAAGTGGGAAATTTTATTTACTAATAAAAGTGAATGGTTTCTGTTAGTAGCAGGAAAGTTGCTGGGATTGTGTTATTTTGACTAATAGAGATATGTATTTACTGTAGTTTAGTGGTTTATATATAGTTGCATTTTGTTTCGTGAAGTTTAGAGGCATTTCCATGTGTTTTCAGATTAAGTGTTGCAGTTTCTTTAATGAGTTGGTTCACGAATGTGTGAAGTTTAACTCGGATTTATTGGTTGGTCTGTTAAAACTTTAAAATTTCGTAGTTTTTTATGGTAGTGTTCATGAAAAATTTAAGAGTCAGTTAAACTAGCTGATATTGTCATGGCATTTTGGAATTGACATGGCTTGAGAATGTTTTCTTGTGCGTTATAAGCATTGTGGTTCTGTCTTTCACTTCTATGTCTTATCCACATTGACTAGTGTAGCTTTATCTGAGTGTCGCTAACAGTTTAGCCATGTAAAGGAGTAGCTTCACATCTTAGAACCTTAATTGACCAATCCAGAATGTGATTCACAAATTTTCTTGTTTCCTAGCTAAAAACAAAAAAGAAGCTTTCTGTAATTCTTAGAAACAGAAAAATGGCTTCAATTTGATTTACTAGTATAAGAAGACATACAAATGAACATGTGCTGGTTCATGGGGCTGGAATAAGATAATGATTAGCTTGCAGAATAAATCGGGTATGGCAAGGAGACCTACGGTGTCTAGTGACCTGGCTTGGACAGCCTAGGGATTCTCCAGCGAGTGGTTTCCAAGGATCAGGAAAATTATGGAAAAATGTGAACCTTCTGTACCTAGTTTGGGTATTGATTGAGATAGCACACCCTCATTTATCTATGTTTTAGAAATGATGGCTCATGAATCCTTGAATCCTCTTACAACAACGAGTAGGAGAGAAAGAGCAACTCATCTCATTGTGGGTGGACTACATATATCATAACCACTTTGCAAGGACCTTTATATTGAACAATAATAACTCATTGGAGGACCAATGACACAAATTAGTTCACCTTGTGATTAGAAACAAGGAAATTTGGGGAAAGGGGAGAACCGTGACATTTGAACATGTATGCCTTGAATTAATTGGCAGTGCCTTATACACTAGGCCTTTTTATTTTTCGTGTTCTTGGGCCTAATTTAACTAAAAAAGGGATAAAAATCCAGGTCTCGAATAATTTGGGACCTTCCTAGGTCTTACTCAGAATCAGACCTAGACCTAGACCTAGCATCCTTGCCCCACCTTAGGTGAACCTTGTGTTGGGTCTAATGATTAGCACTTGAGTTGTGGTTTTGTCCATTCCTAGTGGAATTCATTTTCATGCATAAACTTTGCTTCAGAAAGTGTAGAACGACATTTATCTTGGTTATGATAGAATTCACTCCCTTTGCCTTTTTTCCTTCAAAAAAGTGTTGTATTTTTATTTTATTTTTACTTTAAATAACTTCTCTCAGGAACATAAGAAAGGTAGCATTTTACATGATCCATTCCTTTGGATCCTGGCCATTGCTAATCCATCCTTCTTCCATACCCATCCAAGGGTGAGACATCAGCCAATGAGCACCAAAGTAGCTTGGAAAAACTACTCCAGGTATGAACGTGAAAATGCATTGAACTTTGAGGATTTTTTTTAAATTTTTTTTGAGAAGAAACAAATAAATATCATTTGATCGAAAATGAATTGAACTTTGAGTAAACAAGCAATTTGTCTATTCTTTATATGATGAGAAACTGAATTACTTGAGACGAAAGTTTACAAGAAAAAGTTGAACCATGATTCTATTTTTAAAACAGAAAGAAGACACTTACAAATACAATCAACTATTGTCAAAGATAAAAAAAAAATCATTTAAATGATAAAAAAAAAAAAAAATTTCTGAAAATAAAAACATGTCAAACTGGGAAAGTCACCTTAATAGGATTGTTTGGTACTTATAATACCTTAATATGATGGTAAAGCGTAAAATGGCTATTATCATTGTTTATATTTATAAGAAACTGAAAATGATTTAATTTGTAGCTAAGAGGCGTCTTAAAGTGTGCAAAGTGATGGTGAAATTTTTATGTAATAATGCTTTATGAGGTTTGGAGTAGTGGATGGCTTAGGAGTCAATATCAGGATCAAATTTACAAATAAAAAACATACAAAAGTCGAATTGATCTAATGTTGAGGGTGAATTCAATGGCGAACTTTAACTTGTCGTAATGCTAACACGTCAAGAGCAAAGTTTGTTTTGCAACTTGCTGGACCCACCTGCCTCATTAAATAAAAAGGACTTATTTTGGAAGGAAACAAAAAGCAACAGCATGAATCCACAGAAATACTGAAATTGGTGTGTAGCCTGACCTCATCTTAAGCGTTACTGATTCTCTTTTCCTTTTAAAACTTGCTTTTTGACATCATCCCGATTTTCAATTATTTTTTTTCCCTTGGAGTTGTTTGCTGTTCATCCAAATTCTATATTTTGTAGGTGAGTTATAGATCAAAGCAATTTACATCATAAGAATTTTCTCGTTCTTTGGTGAAATTTGATTTGTTTTGCTTGTAGAATATATTTGCTTCTAGAAATTTCCATTTATTTTTTTGATTGTCTTTTTTTTTTTTTTTCTCTATTTGAGGGTTGAGAGGGTTCATCTTGATGTTTTCCTTTTATCTATTTTTTGATAGGAAACATATAATTTTTTCTTGATTTATTAAATGTACCTTCTTAGGTGCCATTTATCGTTTTCATTTTTGAATTCTAAGATTTTGACATCATCAATACTCTTAATCGTATTGTTTTTTTTTTTTTTATGATTTTTTTATTAATTTTTTGATTTGATGAGGTTGAAGATGCCAATTTTTGTTTCATTTGATGATTATATATGCATTGCTTTCACCTGTCATCACGTGGAAGGCTTTGTTTTTTTCAACGAAATGCTTCTAACTTTTCACTTATATATATATATATATATATATATTAAAGAATTCTTATGTATGCTATCTTGGGTGGGTGCACTTGCCGCAAGTGGTGCCTAAAGCTAACTTTTATATTTTCATTTGGAAACTTTCTCAAATTACTATTTTAGGTTTAAAGAGTTCAATAATACACAATTTGATGGCTATTATAAATTCAAACACCTTTATTAATATTTTTGATGGCTACTATTGTTGGCCTTAAAATTTCAATATGATTTACAGCTTTTGTAAAATTAGTAAAGAATGTTGAATGTTTTATATTTAATTGAGTAAGTCGGATGGTAGGTGTAGCACTCAATTAACTATAATTTCTTTTCTGATATGGGAAATGTATAGATGATTCCCCTTTTCTCCTTTTGGTTTATTCATATATGCTAACATGTTCAGATGCAATTGGATTGTTAAAAGATGTAACATTTTGGCCTACATTTAAAATGATGCAATCTAAACTGTGGATATGGATATATATAGATGTAAAATATGGAATATAATCAACTGATTTAACTGAGGTGACTTAACATTTATTATCATATTTACATACTGTTGGTTAAGTAATAAAAAACGACGTTTGCAAGACGGATAGTAAATTGGAATTCGGTTATCCTTGTTAATTTATATTGTGTACATGTAGAAGAAATGGTCGTGTTGGTTTATATTTTTGGATGCTTTTTTTTTTTTTTTCCAAAGTCTAAATAAATGCTTCAATATTTATTTGTACAAATCGTGGCATTTTTTTAGTGTCCTTCAATCAATGTTATAATTGGTTTCATTTTGGTTGTCCTGTGTGTTTCATCTGACAAAGGATATTAAGTGATTAAGATATGCCTTTCTATTTTTTCGCCAGACACTGTTTGGAGGGTTGCTTCTTTTGTTGATGTGACTTGATTAAGAGATGGAGGACAAACATGAGGAAGTGGAGGATATCGAGAGTGCTTCTGGTGACTCTTTCATTGCTGACTCAGATGATGATGCACCATCAACTTCCGGACAAGATGATGAATTGCATATTGAGGCTAGTTGATAAATATGTTTTTTTTTTTCTTCATAGTTACACTTTTTATTTTTGTTTGGCAGATTATTAAGAACTATTGTTTATGTGATATATTGATGTTCTAATTCTGACTTGCTGTTGGACCTCTTTTTGCACTTTTGTTTTATTTTCCATCTTTTTTCTGCAGGAACATTTGACTGAGGAAGAAATAGAAGAGCTAGTTGCTGAGTTTTTGGAAGTTGAGAGTAAGGTATTATATATCATTGTTTGAATTTGACTTCTATTGGGTATTTTACTTTGATAGTTTTCTCATACTCTTTTTAGGCTGCAGAGGCTCAGGAAGCACTTGAACCCGAGTCCCTTGCCAAAGTGGAAGGTGAGGTTAGAGAGGAGTTGGCACAAAATCTCCATAAGGATGCTGTTAGTTTTCTTCCCCTATCTCCCTCTTTTGAATCTTGTGGCCAGGGCCTATTACTGACTTTTTTAGTTGACTACAGTTGGAGGTGGCCGTTGAAGATGAAATGACTGCCTATAGAGAGCAGTGGGAAGCAGTGCTGGACGAACTCGAAACAGAGAGTGCTCACTTGTTGGTCTGCTTCTTTCTTCAGTTTTGAGTAAAATTTTTGGTTCTCAATGTGTATTTTATGCTCGCATACATTTTGAGAAATTTTTTTAATTTTTTCTTGCAAATCAACATTTTGTTTAAATCTACTTTTGTTAACTAATAAGGCCCCAACTATGTGGCTTTCTGTTTCTTTTTTATTTCTTTTGAGGGAGTTGAAAAGGCGATTTTGAAGTTTGTTATGCACTATTTCTTATTCTATTGCTTCTTTTATGTTGAGTCAAGATTGTCTTTCCTCAAGAAACTTGGTTTGTTATTAGTCACTTGTTGGATTTTAAATTGTGGATTTGGTTAAGCTTAAAGTAAATCCTGCATTTTGCTTCATTTAAGTATTTCGGTCGCATTTTTTGTTTTTAATATGCCACAGATTCTTTTCTGAGGAAGGAATTTAGTCTTGCACTGGTTGATAGCTGCCATTTAGGACATTGAAATTTAACCAGAAATGTGCACAGATCTATTGAGTGTTTCAAATTTTTTTTGCTTAGCCTGTGTCCTCCAAGATGTCCAGGTTTGATGAGAAATATTCTTTTTTGCCCTTTTTGTCTCCATTTGTTTAGTGGCATACTTACTCGATGAATAGCTTATTTGGTCACACATTTAATGAAAATTATCATAGAAAGAGACATTCAAATGTTTCTGTTGCAATTTTTCTTTTTTTTTTTTAATGCTTTCCCTGTAGTCTTTGAAAATTGTAATTAAATTATAATTTGTTTTGCTTTTATGCAGGAACAACTTGATGGAGCTGGTATTGAGTTACCAAGCCTATATAAGTGGATCGAAAATCAGGCTCCTAATGGTTGCTGCACTGAAGCTTGGAAAAAAAGAGCACACTGGGTAGGATCTCAGGTGCCTAGTGAAATGAACAAGTCGATAACTGATGCCGAGGAGTATCTTCAAACCCAAAGGCCTGTAAGAAGGTATGATCGTACCTTGGCATTATGCATTGTTCAGGTGCATCTGTTTTCTTTTTCATATGAATATACATTTGTGGGTTCAGGCGACATGGTAAACTATTGGAGGAGGGTGCCAGTGGATTTTTACAGAAAAAACTTGCTAATGATGATAGCAAGGAGGCTGTAACAGAAACTAGAGACCTCGACTGGAGCTCTGTGAACAAAATATTTTCTGGTGATGTTTCTGATGAGTGTAAATTTGGTGGCAAGCATTGGGCTTCTGTGTACTTGGCCAGTAATCCACAGCAAGCTGCTGCAATGGGACTCAAATTTCCTGGAGTTGATGAGGTGACTGATTTTGGTTTTAATTGATCATTTGCAACCTTATGACATGATTGCCTTCTGCATTTTGGCCCAAACTTTGATGTTACTGCCAAATGTCATGACATCTTGGTTTTACCTACTTGTGACTACTCATTCAGCAAAGTTTATAATCTAACTTATTTTATAGACTGTTGTAGATTCCAGAGAGTGTGTTTAGTTTTGAACAATATTTGAAGTCAGTGAAGTCCCATAGCTGATGGTCAAGAGTCGATGGGAGTTATTTTGTGGCACCTAACTCTCATTGGTTGTTGCCCATGAATTAAGAAGTTTTCTGGTCCATGATTCTGCTACTAATGTTTATGAGTTTGTCTATCAAGCTTTTGGCCTTGTGGGTTTTGTGCAACTTGGTGCTATCGGTTTTAATGCTTTGTTTTAAGTCAGTTTGAAAAATGAATTTTTCAGGTGGAGGAGATCGAAGACATTGACGACAATTCCAATGATCCATTTGTTGCAGATGCCATAGCTAATGAAAGAGAATTGGTTCTTTCTGAAGAGCAAAGAAAAAATTTTAGAAAGGTATGTCAGTATCCATTCAACTAACGGTTTTATTTGCCGTTTCCTGAAAATTAAAAATATCAGTCATGGAAGTGTTGCTTCTGTCTCATTTGAGATCCATTTGGCTGAGAAATTCATCCATTTTTTGCTGCATGTTCAAAACCAAACACAAGTTCTGGAAAAAGTGGGATTTAAATCCACTATGAGTAAACTTCTTAAAATCGAGAGTTGTGTATGTGTCTATGTTTTTGGTTTTTGGTTGGGGGGGGGGGTGGTGCGTGGGGGTGGGGTTGTTGGGGGTTTGGTGGGTGATAGGAGTATATTAAGTGAAAATGTCATTTTTTAAATTAAGGCAGTTTTTATAAGAAACACAATGATGCAGTATCAAGACGATGTGAATGGAATAACTTTTTGGGTCTATTTATGATCACTCTCATAATAATTAATGGTTGAGTTTTCTGTTAACAACTGTTTAGACACAAGTTTTAAAGTTAATTTGACTGTATCTTTGTATATTTGAAGGTCAAAGAGGAAGATGATGCAAATATCGATCGCAAGCTTCAACTACATTTGAAACGAAGGCGGCATCGAAAAAGATCAAAACAGGTATAATGTCTCTACCCATTGGTTCTTTTGTTCTATACAATTGGTTTAGCCTTAGTTAATTTATAAGAAATTTGTGAACTATCGGTTTTCAATAAAATTTTGCTGCTCAGAAAAAAAAAAAAAAAAAAAGAAGAGGAAAAATTTGTATAGCAATCTTGTATAATCGCAAGAGTGATGCTGAGATAGGTTCTTAATTGATCTCTTTGTACATATATGTGACAGTTGTTTATCTTTCGTCATGTTGATGATTTTCAAGTTTTACAGTTTACAGTATTCAGACCAGTGGCACCTATTATGGATGTGTCATTTATTAAAGAGTTAAGGCCTTAAGTTGCATTGTTTAAGAGTGTCATACTTTATTACATGGGTTTCTCACATGCTGTGGACATGGATACGTTTCTCAATTAGAGGAGCTAATGTTAGGTGTCAAGCCTTGAATAACTTAACCTTCCTCCTTTGTGATATCTATGTACTTTTTTCTGTTACTGAATTAGGGAGCTACTCAGAAAGAAGTTTTCTCTGTTGATGGTGTGGTTGAAAGTAATTCAGATGAGGCCCGGCCTTTTGTTGATTCTTCTAATTGTCTTCCAAGCAATAAATCTCAAGAAGATGAGGAAGGCATGCCTGACAAAAACAATGAGGTTAAAAGTTCCGGAACTTCAGATAATTTTGACAAGGCAAGGCCAATTAGTAATGGCACTTCTTCAATGTCGGATTCTGCTTTGCCTGATTCCACTGAATTAAGAGGGTCCAAGCGTTCCAATGAGAGTGAGGAGCCAAATGATGATATAAAACGGATTCGGCCTATTATCATAGATTGTGATGAAGAAGCTAATGTGATGAATGATAAATCTGTTTGCATCAAATTGGAAGATCAATCTGTCTTGCATGAAAATGCTAACGTTTCTGTCACTGCTGACTCTCTTCCTTCCCAGATTTCGTATGAAAAATTCTTTTGTACTGCCTGTCAAAAGGTGGCCTCCGAAGTTCACTCGCATCCGCTTATGAAAGTAATCATTTGCAAGGATTGTAAAAGCCTATTGGAACAGAAGATGCATTTGAAGGTATGGACTTAGTAGTTTTTGTACTTCTTAGTAGATTGATTCCTATAGACTATAAATTTGGGTAGTGGAATAATAATTATGTTGGTAATTATTTCATTTTCGAAAATCCAACTTTGAAGGAAGCACCATTTAGGGCATTAGATTTTACTAGAAAAACGTAAGAAAAATCTCAGAATTAAACTCTATTCTCATTTTCTGATGCATCTACATCTTGTTATTAGGATCAAAAAAGGATAATTGAATAAAGTTTTTTGTATCTCTGTATGTGTGTATGTATGTGTACTGAGTATGTATCTGTGTATAGTTTTCAATGGAAGTTCGCACCTGTATGTGTCTGACCTAGTGACTAGTGTTAATATTACTATGACTAGTGACTAGTGTTAATATTACTATGTGTACACCATAACCTGATTACGTTTGATGATTTAGTGAGATAGAATTTCTTTTTGAAATTTTCTTTTGTGCGTTTATTCACCATGTGCTAAGGATAAAAGAAAAAATTTGCTGAGAAGCAATAAAATGCATGATAAATTTGCTTTTTTTCCTTTTTTTTTCTTTTTTAATGTACATTCTGCTTACTAGAATGGGTTTCTAAAATTTGATGTCATCAAGTGTATAGAATTGAAACAAACATGATGTTGCAGCAATGTATTAGTTGTTTAACTTTCTTTTGATATTCACGAAGATCTTTAAGCTGTTGTAATTAGTACTTACATCTAATTACAACAGTATTTGTTGATTATTGTTCTGCTTGCTTGTTCTCTGGAAATCTTATTCCAGATGACCACTCTCCCAAATTGGTTTTCCTCCTGAAGACCTGTTTGCATTCTCCATTAGTAGCGTCATGCAAGCCAAATTCACAGGTTGGGAATACTGCTGATTGGGGTTTGGAAGTGGTGAAATGATTGAGGGGGGTTGTATATGGTCTGGTCATGATCATAATAACCAAGTTCAGCATTTTGTTATTGCAATTTTTTTTAACTATTGTGGCCTTATTGTTTAGTTGTTTATTATTGTTGATAATTTTATTAGTATGACACCATCTGCCTAATCTACTGAGTTCTAAAAAGGTTCATTTGGAATGTTTTTATTTGATAATCTGAATTCAGTATTTCATGTTGAAATTTGTATTGAATTAATTGATTATAGCAGGATGCTGACTGCTCTGAGTGTTTCTGTGGATGGTGTGGACGAAGCAATGATTTAATAAATTGTAAGTCGTGCAAGGTATTGTTCTGTACCACTTGTGTGCAGAGGAATATTAGTGAAGCATGCTTGTCTGAGATTCAGGCCTCTTCCTGGCAATGTTGTTGCTGCTCTCCAAGTCTCCTGCAAAGATTGACCTTAGAATTTGAGAAAGCCATTGGTTCTGGAGACCTTACGGTTTCTAGCTCTGAAAGTGACTCAGAGAGTTCAGATGCCGACAATAATCTCACAGTAGGGTATGATGATATTCCTCTGTAAACTGAGATAAGGATGTAATCTTTAATTGGTTTCATTGATGGTTTTTGCTGACTGTATTTTGTATTGTTTTATGAAACTAAGATCAACTTTTAATTCCTTTGATTTTTCATTTATAACAAAATTGTTACACATGCTACTGAACTGACTCTTTGACTATTAATTTAGTAACAAAGTTCTTTCGTAATGGACTTCTATGGGCTCCCTCACTTATTTCTATCTCTCTCCCTCTCAGCCGTAAGAGAAAGCAAAAGAAGAAAATTCGGAGGATTCTAGATGATGCTGAATTAGGAGAAGAAACCAAAAGAAAAATTGCAATTGAAAAGGTACCTTTAAATTGCTAGATTTGTTTAGTCCATGCTGATTTTTTGCAGAACCAAATAACATATTGTGGTCAAAATTTTTGTAGGAGCGCCAAGAGCGTCTAAAATCTTTGCAAGTGCAGTTTTCTGCCACATCTAATATGACAACCGCGGCAAGTTTTGAACGGGACTTGCCTGCTGCTGCTAGTACTGAAGTGCTTGGTGATGCTATTACTGGGTATATAGTGAATGTTGTGCGGGAGAAAGGTGAAGAAGCTGTGAGAATTCCACCAAGCATATCAGCTAAACTGAAAGCTCATCAGGTTTTCCTTTTATGCTTGTAGAGTGTTTAATTATGAGCTTTTCTTTTATGCTTGTATATAATTTAACACGAAATAATTGTCTGGAAATTGCTGTTTGGCTGATTCTTTTCACTAATTGTATCATTATTTTGGGTAGGCCTCCTATCTCAAATTTTAATGATGTTACTGTATTATAGTTGTACTCTAGCTTTAGCACTGATGCTATATATAATGCATTTCGAACCTGCAAACTCTGGCAGTGTCTGTTTGTTAAAAAATTGAATTTGGGGCCGTTTGTGGGGGAAGTTTGAAGTTGGGATGTGAACCTTGAAGATATATAGCTTGTTTTTATTTTCTTGAAATTGTTGGCTGATGCTATCTGTTGCAATTATTTTATTTTATGACCTTGAAGGTGTTATGATGGAACTCTTTATTTATTATTGCAGGTAGTAGGGATAAGATTTATTTGGGAAAATATTGTACAGTCAATCAGAAAGGTGAAGTCTGGAGATAAAGGGCTTGGTTGCATTCTGGCTCATACAATGGGCCTTGGGAAAACATTCCAGGTATTACCTTTGGTATTTCTCTTGGATATTCTGTTTCTCTGCTCTCTATGAATAACTATATTTTCATTGTACAATGGACTTTGACATAACACTGTGTTCTCACCATTGTAGTATGAGCTAGATATGCAAGAAAGCAAATATTTTCTGGATAGCTTTAGCATCATGTGGTGCTCCACACATGTAGAACATTTTTGCTCTCTCAAAAAGGCAAAAACTTAGTGGAAGTGATATGTCCTCAGTTTTTTGTGGGTGATTTGGCAAGAAACTAATAGTTTATGTTTGAAGGAAAAGAGAGGAGGATATGAACTACCTATGGGATAGAATTTTCATATTTGCTTCTACATTGGCCTAGTTTTAAAGAATTTTCGAGCTTCTTTGTTTTTCATAATACATCTGGATTGGGATGGGATGTAAAGTATGTATTGGGTTCTCTTCCGTAATCTGTTACAGTGGTTTTGGGCTGATATAATATACCAAAAATGGAATTGTTTATGAGCTTTTGTTTTGCTATGTATACATATATGATACTCATTGAAGTGCTGTCTTGTTTTTAGTTTTGACCCTCTGGTTCACTCCTGTAAGCCTTGCACACTGTTCAAAATAATCTTTTCCAGTTTCCCAAAAGAAGAAAACAAAAAAAATAAAAGAGAGAAGTTAATAACTGTGCTTTTTGTATGTTTAAGTTTTGATAATAATTTGTAGCATCTTTATGTGGCTTCTACATATTTTAATAGCTTGATGGATGTGTTTGCCTGATTTGTCAAAATATTTTTTCAGGTCATAGCCTTCTTGTACACGGCAATCAGAAGTATTGACTTGGGATTAAGAACTGCACTTATTGTCACCCCTGTAAATGTACTTCATAATTGGAGGCAGGAATTCATGAAGTGGAGGCCTACAGAGGTGAAACCTCTCCGTGTCTTCATGTTGGAAGATGTATCAAGGTCTAATTATGATTTTTTTTGGTCATTTCTAACAAAAACTTGTATTGATCATGAGGGGCATTAGTTCCCTTTTCCAGGTTTACTGTTGAATTTCCAAATTCTGTGCATAGTGTTTCCCTTTTCCAGGTTTACTGTTGAATTTCCTAATTCTGTGTATAGTGTTGTCATATGATGCACATGTCCTGACTTTTATCTTTTCAAAATTTTGATTATACTCATTTTCTTATCAACTGGCCAAAGTTTTAATTTCCTCTATAAATATGGTTGCTGTTTTAGTAGCGTGTTATTTAATGCTATCAGGTTGAATTTTAATGTCAAAACTACTCTGCTTTCTGTGATGAGGAAAATTGTGTCCACCAATGCAGTTTGGAAACTCAGGTTGTCTAATAAATGGATACAAGAATTCTTTTGGTACTGACTTCTGGATAGTGGGTTGAGAAGGATTGACTTTATAGGTCTGTGCTCAATATCTAATGACTTGTCATCAAATTGGATGGTCAGTTTTCTTTGTTACCCGAAATCCCTTGATCTTACCTACATGCTCATTGAGTTCCAAACTGGGGGCTTGACTCTACAGCCTTTGTTGTCAAGAAACTTGTGGGATATAATTTCCCAAATAAGTGGCCCCAGGAAATTTGATTCATTTGAAACCTTGAACTCATTGTTGAAACCTAGGGCTTCTACTACTAAGCACAGTCCTTCAGGTTACTTGGGTGGTTTATGCAATAGTTATTTAAATACGTAGGTGGAATGGGATCAAATGCATTGTAGCAAATGGGTAAGATGTCTTGAAGTAGGATTCTTGGAAAAAGAAAATGCAGTTGAAATAGGATAGGTGTGAAATTTTTCTTGGATGTGCTTACAAAGCTATGTAGGCAGCAATATAGGAACATTCTTTTACTTTACTCTTTCTGGATTGTCCAGATTCTTTGAATTGTAAGAGAATTGTTGTCTTTGGTGGTTTTTGCAGTGAATTACAAATTCACTTGATCTGAACAGAAATAATGAAAAATGGAGGGATGTGATTTTGAGGATTAAAATTAGGAGATTTATGGGGTTGATCTGGTTTGTTTCGGATAATATGGTTGGGATCTTCTTATTGTTGGTTCTTTTGGTGGAGTGAGGTGCTAGCTGAGATGACTCCTTGCCTGTTGTGCATTATCTTGAGTTGTTATGGAGCACCATCAAGTATTTTGAGTAATGTGATATCATTTGTCATTGTGAACTTTGCAATGTTGATTTTTGAGTGGAAAATTAGACTAAAGGTTTTAGCTGGCTAGATATGTTGATGTTGGTGCTCTGGCCAATGTAGTGGTTTTCATATTTTTCCCTACCTGTGGATGAAGATCATTTCGTAATATTGTTCAATTACCTAATTTTAAACATTGTATGAGAGATGGAGAAGGATGTCACTTTGAAGTTCTGCTGGAAAGCAGGAACAGAAGAAGACAATATAAGCTTTTCATATTGATTTAAGATTTAACCGTTCCATTTATTTTCTTTTAGCTGTATGGAATACATAGTTTTTCTTGTCAAAAATTGGATTCTAGTTTGATAGACATTATGGATTTTTGTTCCTAAACAATTGTCTTGCATCTCACTGTTTTCACTTCTATTTTTTTTATTGTTGCTTACCCTCTTGTTGATATGCTTACTGCTGTTATTACATTTTCCAGGGAGAGAAGAGCAGAATTACTTGCAAAGTGGAGGGCCAAGGGTGGTGTATTTATAATTGGCTATGCTGCTTTCCGGAACTTGTCCTTTGGAAAGCATGTGAAGGATAGGCAGATGGCTAGAGAAATTTGTCATGCCTTGCAGGTTCTTTTCAGTTTATAATGTCTTAGATATAACATATTGATAATTTGATTCCAGGTAATTGGAGCTGAATTGACCTGTGTCTTCAGTTTAACTGTTACCAATAGAGGCACCTTTGGAATCTAAGATCTTGCTAAGTCTTTGATATAAACTAGTTTCTTTTTTTTTTTTTTTTTTTTTTTTTAACATTATCAGTAAGAAATTAATTATCTCATAAGAACTTCTGTTTGATATAAAATTATGATTTTGTCGTCTTGTCAGTGTTATATTTCAAATATTTTCAATTATTTGCCAATAATTTCATGGTTTAGAGAAATATAAATCACTGATTTCTTCAGTGCCCTATTTGCTTTATATTTGTGGCAAACATTGTTTCAATTAGCGAATTTTGCTTGTGTGATTCTAGAGTCTTGTGTTTCCTATAAAGAGAATTTAAATGTCTGTGGGGAAGAAAGAAGGTGAACATGTTGTGGAAATTTTGTGTTATGCCGTCTTTTTTATGTTCTTTGGTTGGAAAGGGATTCAATATTTTTTTTATGATGCTGGGGAGGAAGGTGCTGAATTTTATGGGATAGGGTTTATTTCCTTGCTTTCTTTAAGTGTTGGTTTCTAATGGTTTGAAGGATACTCCAGTTTCTTATTTAGGAAAGTTGAGAGGTTGTAGTAGATGTTTCTGTTTTGGGTTGTCTTTTCGTGAATGTAGTGGGTCTTTTTTAGTGGACTGCTGCTCTACCTTTCTGTAATTTTTTTTTTCTTTTATTATAGAACTTACTGTTTCTTATTGAAATTTAAAAAAAAAAAAAAAATGAATAAACATGATTCTCGTATGATTGGTAGTTGAGATGTTTGGATGCTTGTTAGTAGGAATTTTCTGTATCATAATTTGCTTTTTTATTTTTTATTTTTGGGGTTATTTTATCCATAGTTTCATGCAATTCTCAGACATCTTAAATATTTCTTATTTTGTGCCATGTGTTCTTTGTGATATTGCAATCCCTTAATAAAATTTTCTTTTCCTATTCTAGGATGGACCTGATATACTTGTTTGTGATGAGGCCCATATGATTAAGAACACCAGGGCTGACACAACTCAAGCCTTGAAACAAGTGAAATGCCAAAGAAGGATTGCCTTGACTGGATCACCTCTTCAAAACAATCTCATGGAATATTATTGCGTAAGTCTGCAATAAAGCTATGAATTCTGGTACATTAGTTTTTATTTCTTATTTCTTATTATGATTTTTATTGGATTTATTTTGGAACAGATGGTTGATTTTGTAAGGGAAGGTTTCCTTGGTAGCAGTCATGAGTTTAGGAACCGGCAAGATTTCGTCACTGAATATTATTCTGATTGCTATATACTTTTTACTTGGATCAGTTTACCTCAATCATGCTTTTCTTGTGTGCAGCTTTCAGAATCCTATCGAAAATGGTCAGCATACTAATTCAACATCTGAAGATGTTAAAATTATGAATCAGAGGTCTCATATCCTCTATGAACAATTAAAAGGATTTGTCCAGAGAATGGACATGAATGTGGTGAAGAAGGACTTGCCACCAAAAACTGTCTTTGTAATAACAGTGAAGCTCTCTCCACTACAGAGGAAACTATACAAGAGATTTCTTGATTTGCATGGGTTTGCAAATGACAAAGTCTCTAATGAAAAGATAAGGAAGAGCTTTTTTGCTGGGTATCAGGCCTTAGCTCAGGTATTTTTCAAGGCTTCATATTTATAAAGTTTTGCGCACCCACCTGTACATAGATATAAAAGGCAGGTGCATCTAAGCATATTTGTCTGAAGCATGTCATTGATCCATGCAACTAGTGTTATAGTTGGTAGCATTAGATTGTTATGGTTAAAAGTTTCGAGAGCCAATCTTAGTTTTAAGGAAGAAGAGAATGGAGAAGACAAATATATCCATGCTTTTCTGATAAAAGTTTTGGAAAACTGGGGTTGTTAAATGTTGGACTTGGTTCATGTCATGTTAATATTTATATTTATGGAAAGTTAGAAGTTAAAACAACTAGGCTGCTGCATACAGGCATATGCTATATTGAATTCGAGATGTGGTAAGTGTCTTGATAAGATATCCATGCGGATACTTCGCTTGTATGGATACCAGTACTAATAGAATGTGCATGCATCAGTATTGCAATTTGTCTGTGTTATTTAGATTTTGAAGAGCGCATGAAGATAATAAAATGAATCAATTACTTTTTGGTATAATCCACGTGACAATGCATTTCATATTATTTACATTTATCCTTCTTCATTTTCTTTTGATGGAAGTGTTTTTCATCCCTAGTAGATATGGAACCATCCTGGCATCTTACAATTGAAAAAAGAAGATAGGGGCTATCCGAGCCGGGAGGATGCTGAGGACAGTTCCAGCGATGAAAACCTAGATTATAATGTGGTGATAGGAGGTATTCTTCTAATTTTCCTTTGCTTTTATGTAAAAGTTATGTATCGATATTGTGCCTGGAATGCTTTAGCTTTTGGATTTATGGATTTGCTATATTTCATTGACGTGGAGCAATATTTGAAATTGATAACTGGGGTTACTTGGCAGTCACACTTGGTGACCTTTAGAGTAAACAAAGCCAGACGGGCTGATTTAGTAGTGTGAGCATGGTCTGTCATAAACTGTGCTTTAGAAGATGCTGTGAACTGTAAGGCTTCTTTTATGGTGAATAGAATTGATTTATGGGGTCATATAGAATAAAGAAAGTAAAGCAAACAAGTAAAGATGAAAAAAAGAGGATGGAAAATCAAAGAATCTCACAAAGTCCTCCCACAAGTCTTGCCAAGCATCTTACTGATATCATACCATTATGCAAAGAAAAATTACCCTTCAGTTTTCCAATACGTAGGCCATGTCTTACAGATGTGTTGAGGGCTTTAGCTGCTGATTTTTTGACCCGGATAATTGCTTAAGGGAACTATGGCATATTGTTTTCAAGAAGATTTAGACAACACACCTGTAGGCATCTGTAACCTAAATAATAATTCATATTGTCACTGATTTGGAATTTTTCCTTACATAATAATTTCTTGAGACTAATGTTTACAGTGCATGTAACCATTTGTCATATCTTCATTGTTACAGAAATGTTATTGATTTCATGTTTTAATATTAATGCTTCATGATTGACAGAGAAGCCAAGGAATACAAATGATGTTCTGCAGGGAAAGAACGACGATGGCTTTTTTCAGCAGGTTTGAGTTTGGACAAATTTGATCATCAATTGTTAATTTCCTGTTTTACTTGTTTTGGGGTGAATCATTCTGTAGGAAGTTTCTGGTACTATTGTTTGTAACAGTACCATTCTGTATGCTGCTGATATGTTATTTTTCTTTAAGGATAATGGATATTTATTTCTTAACAGGATTGGTGGAAAGATCTTCTGCGTGAACATACTTATAAAGAGCTCGACTACAGTGGCAAAATGGTTTTGCTGCTTGATATTCTAACCTCGTGTTCTGACATAGGTGATAAAGTATTGGTTTTTAGCCAGAGTATACCAACATTAGACCTCATAGAGCTGTATCTTTCAAAGTTAACTCGATCAGGCAAGCAAGGGAAGTTTTGGAAAAAGGGAAAGGATTGGTATAGGTGGGTATTTTTTTCTGCAGACTTTCACGCTGTATTCCATGTGGGAATGAAATTCTTTTGTAATTTTGATAAACCTTTTTTATTTTCTTGTAATCTGCTGGACAGGCTAGATGGGAGAACAGAGAGTTCTGAAAGGCAAAAGTTGGTAGAGAGATTTAATGAGCCCTTCAATAAAAGGGTGAAGTGTACATTAATTTCAACTAGAGCTGGATCTCTGGGGATAAATCTTCATGCTGCCAACCGGGTAATTATTGTTGATGGTTCCTGGAATCCGACATATGATCTTCAGGCCATATTTCGTGCTTGGAGGTATGTTTCGTTGTTTGTTGGGTATGCATTATGTGCTTGTGTATGGATTTTATTTAATTTGGTTTAGAACTTAGGACTCATTATGCTTTTTCTGCTTCTGCAGGTACGGGCAAAAAAAGCCAGTTTTTGCTTACCGATTGATGGCACATGGAACCATGGAGGAGAAGATATACAAACGTCAGGTAACAGAAGAAGATTTTTCTATTATATTATAAGATTTCTGTTGTCTCATGAGGAGAATGCTTAAATAGGTCACGAAGGAGGGGCTTGCCGCAAGGGTGGTTGACAGACAACAAGTACATAGGACTATCTCTAAAGAAGAAATGTTACATCTCTTTGAATTTGGTGATGATGAAAACCCTGATCCTCTACCTGAAGTCTGTCAAGAAAATGGACAAGAAAACAGTCAAACTACAACTTGCAAAATAGGAAATTCTCTGAAGCATAAGTTGCCTCTTTCTCATGGAAGCTGCCTTTCTGACAAGTTGATGGAAAGTTTACTTGGCAAGCATCATCCAAGGTAGTTTATTTCAAATGTAATTGACCCTGCATTTTTAATATTTCTTCAGCTTTTATTTGAAAGGTTTAATGTGTTATGTTACATTGTGATGGTTACTAGAGATGCACAGTCTAACTATTCTTTCTCATTTAACGCGATTCTTGGTGATCAAATTTAAGCAGTATGGACCAAGTAAATCACCTATATAATGATTCAAAACTGATTAGAAATTTCTTGTTTATTGTTTTACTTAACCAATATCACATTCGAAACAATGTCTTTTATTTTCAGAATCGAGAGTAACTCTAGGTTTTCGTTATCATTATTTATTAAGCAGTAATATTTTCTATTAGTAGGGTTATGGTCTACATACTGTCTGAATATGAGCATTTCATTCTTGGTATTTAAAAAATCCATGACATGTCACATTGTTCATTACTTTGTTTGCTTAGGTGGATTGCCAATTACCATGAACATGAGACCCTTTTGCAAGAGAATGAAGAGGAAAGGCTTTCAAAGGAGGAACAAGACTTGGCCTGGGAAGTGTACAGGAGATCATTAGAATGGGAGGAAGTACAACGTGTACCACTTGATGAATCAGGACCAGAGCGAAAACCTGCTGTCACGTCAAATGTGGTTCCTCCTGCACCAGGGACCAGTGACACCACAATGCAACCCAGAGGCATTCTGAGGAGTCGTGTGGTGCTACGGAAATGCACTAATCTTTCTCATTTGCTTACTCTTAGAAGTCAGGGCACAAAAGTTGGTTGCAGCACAGTATGTGGAGAATGTGCTCAGGAAATACGGTGGGAGGATCTAAATAGGGATGGCAAACCAGCTAGGTGAAAAAAAAAAAAAACAGGAGGCTTCCGCCAATTTGTTCATATTTTTGTTTTTAGCTGATGTAATTAGTTATTGATTGTACATTAAAGTTGCTGTAAGTTCAATATCCTTTTGAACAGAATACATTCTTTTTGGTAGGTCTGATCTCGTTGATACATAAGCATAGTGAATCATCATGTGTCAAGTCTTTTTCAATGAGAGGCAAGGAGAGAGGGATTTTCTCTTTTGTCATGGAGGGTTGAGGGATTTTGAGGGATTTTTTCTTTTGTCATTAAGGGTTGAGGGATTTTAAAATGGCAGAATTAGGCCTGTGTAAATTTGAATCATTCTAAGTTAATCAAGGAAAACGCATTTTTATTTGTTGTAATGTGATTTGAGTCAGGTTGATGGTTGTGCATCTCTCTTTTCATTCATGTCCATGCCAGAAGCTATGATAGTTTTAAAAAATTTCTGAGGAAATCCATACTCATTACTATAACTCATATTCATAGTACATATTACTTGACCAACATTTTTATGTACAGAATCAGATAAAGGACTGCAGAGCAAACAAATTTTATACAGTGAGACAGATGCAGACTGCATTTGACAAATTGAGGGAGAGAGCATTCGTATCTTTGATAATGCACTCTGTTTAATGTCTTCAATTCACCTGCAAATTCTATACCAGCACTGAACTCCGACCCCTGCCAAGGTTTAATTCTTCCAATCAACATCCTCCCGTTCGCACAAATGTAACAGAAGATTCTTTCATCCAGAAGTCGACGGCCAAATGTTTAAGGGAAGCACCTGCTACCGATGTAATTGTTGCCAGTTTGTGTTCTGGTCTACAGACACCTTAGATTATAACAGTAACAATCTTCTTACTCGTCTAAACGAAAAGCACCCTCCACATTGCGCTCAGTGCAATGTTCTAGACGACGACCCAGACTGAAACAAACTGTATAGCTAGGCCTAACCCTTGTACAGAATTACGATATACAGAAACGTGAGAAAGGTCCTCAAACATGAGAGCATTGATTGTATGCACGATGAAAGTGCTACCATCTTTCATCACCCACCCAATTATCCTTCTCTTTCGGTCCAGTTGGTCCTTCCTCACCATAAAGCTCCGTAGGAAACAAGTCAAAGAGGTTTTCCACTGAAAATCGAACAAAAAATGGAAGAAGATTGATTATCTTATCCAGCTCAGATCGTGAATCATACACAATGGTTGGACCCCACTCTCTCATATACTGTAACCAACATGGTTCAGTGACAGCTCCATCCCCAAGATACTCAGCTGCAATAATCTGATACTTAGCGCTTGAATCGATTGAAAATTTACTTCGAGCACAATCATTCTTCGCTCCTATCCCTAGCTTCGATGACCCTTGAATGTATGTTCCAGGATGTGGAAAACTAGCATGCCCATGTTTAGATGAATACACAATTGGTTTATTCCCTTCAATAAACTCCAAGTTAAAAGCATCCACCCATCCACCGCCACTGTGCTCTGAAAAGTACACTTTCCAGAGTTCTCCAGAGAAGTTGTTCACGCGAAGGGTGAAGTGTTCCCAGTCACTCACATGTTCCCCTATCTTGGTCATTTCAATAGTCATTAACCCAATTTTGAGGGTGGCTGGTCCATTGAAGGGGCAAAAGACCCACATTGCTATATCCGTAAATGTTCCTCCTAATATTGGTTTGACATGAACATAAAGTTCCGCGCTCTCTAAGTTTCCCTTCTTGAGATAATTACTTGCTTCATCTTCCTCTGGTAAATCTATCCAAAATGCACCATCATTTTCCCCACCACAAGGCAAGTTTGAGCCCCTATAATCAATTGGTTCGCCTTTCTTCTTCCCATCTTGGTATAAGACTGCTCCATTTTTGAAAAACCACAGTACTGATGAGGGCATATACTCCTCATCAGGATGAAAGAACACAGTTGGTCCATAGTGCTTGATGAGTGCATGAATCTGGTTCAAATTTGGCATTGCATGCAGTGTGGGGTCAAGATTCTTCAAACAAGCAATATCTAGCTGTTCTTCAGACCTTAAGTAGGTACCACAATAGAATGTCCCGACAGAAATACCTCCAGCAAACATTCCTCTTATGCAGGGTCTATGGCTCCAGACTTGAAACGGGAACTTGGAATAATTTGAATCCATGCTAAGTATCACATCACAAGTTTCACAACTGTCTGTAAGATCTTCCCTGACACACCTAACTTCCTCATGCTCAGGCTCCTCTGGCGTGTTGGTAACCACAATGCCCATAGCCTTATAACCAACTGGTGGGTTTGGTAGCCAAAAGTAACCACAATGACCATATTGTGGATCCGTAGTCCAAATTAATGAGTAGTTAACAGGCTTACTTAGAGCTGGAAGATCTAGTAGTGAATTATCCAAATAACCAGCTTCCGTCTTAGAGGCAGCAGCATCATGAGCCACAAGAAGAGACCCTCTCAAAGGCTGATCGTTGGGCTGGCAATAGTGACCAAGACAGTAAAAGCCATCTGGGATTCCTACAGGTTTATAAAATGTGACACCTTTTGCTTTTCCATGCAATAGATTGCAGCTCCAAATGCTCTCAAACTCAGTAACTTGGAAAACTTCCAACTCTCCTAAGTGTATTCTTCCAGTACCAAAACCTCGGCCTGTAAAGATGATAAATCATTATTTCCCAAAGTTAAAATATAGTCAGGACATTTACAGGACTATACTACAGGACGAAAAGCAAAACATTAGTTAAGAAATCAGTAGAAGGATATATTCCTGGATTCTGTAAGCAATTAAAAGAAATATATTCTAATGTTGCGTAAGATTGAAGTTCACATTGCTCATAAGAAACCTTATAAAATGTGGTACTTCCAAGAATTCAAAATAAGTATACGCAACAGAAATATAAAATTGATCATATATCACAAGCTCAAAAGCAATCAAAAGTCTTCAGCTACCTGTCGAAGGTCATAGACAATGCAATAGTAAGAAAAGTAAAAAGGCCTCTGTCTAATACCATCCCAACCAATTTCTATCCATTGAAAAGAGGAACTCAAAATAGGTACTAAATAGTTGAACAAACACCAAGCATAAACAATTCTCATTAAATTTTTGATTTATTCTATCAAGCAAAGAACAATTACTTTTCCATTTCTCATGCTCTAACCATAGAAAACTTCGAAAAAAAAAATAATAATTAGATGCCATCATAGATAAAAGAGTATCGTCATAGTGTAAATTCCCACATTTCATTCAAGCTTCAATTTTCTAGGTGTTCTAACTTTCTACTTGTCTACAATTTAACCAAGTTGATGGATATTGAACAAATTTTTCTTGATTTAACAAAAAGTTCACATTGATCCATACCCAACTAATTAAATAAATCGATATATTTCAAGTAAAATGCCCTTGATCCATTAAATTTCATGCTTTCTAGTAACATAACAAGAAACCATTTCAATTTCCAGAGGTGCAAACTCCAGCAGAATTCCATACTGCTTTTTATTATAAAGAAGCAAATTCATGAACCAGAGCGTCAACAGAATCCAAAATGTTTAAAAAAAACTGTGCCACTTTAAGGATAATTCAGCAGGATCCATTGATTTACACAAAACAAAAGCCCCAAGTCAGTCAGGTCGGGAGGGACCACCAATAAAATTTATATAAAAGAGAGAGAATGGATATCCACGGCATATTCTGATAAAAATTAATTTAAGGACCCATTCATCATCATCTTCATGATAATCATAACATCTCGAAAATGTAAAAACTAAAAAGAAAGATTATATGAAAATTAGAAGAATATCTGAAGATGAAAGAAACACTACCAGAAACCAATCCCCATATGAGCTATTTTCAAACAAAGATCATCATTTAAAATGTAACAAAATAAAAAATTTACAAATTAATAACCCCAAAAAAATTATATTTTTTTCAGATAAAAAGGGAAAATAATAAACCAAAATTTGTACTTTGAAATAGAGGGGTGCATGTGCAAACCTGGTGGCCACTTTGGAAGTGGGTTAGGCAAAGAGAAAGGCTCTGGCTCGGACGAGTTGTAATCAAACTCAGTGAGCCGGTTCCAGTAGAAGCACTCACAAGAAAACATTTTGATCACAAAAGCGTCTACAAAATTAGAAACCTAGCAAAACCCAGAAATTATTTTTCCAGAAGATGATATTTAACCAAGTCTCTCCAGCTCTATGCGCATACAACTCAACACAGAAGAGAGAGAGTTTTAAAGTTAAGTAAAGAAAAAAGAAACGAAAAAAGAAACCTCAACTCTCCCTCCAAAACTCTCACTCAACCAACATAAATTTGAGTGAAAGACAGAGAAAGACAGAGAGAGGGGAAGAAAGAATAAGCCTTTTATTGAAAGATCAGGAATGATTAGCAACAAATAGAAAAGGGTTTTTTAATTTATCATAATTGGTTTGCTTTTCACGTAAAGAGAGAGAGAGAGAGAGAGAAAGCAGAGATATTTTTGTTTTTTATGGTGTGAAAGAATGATGAAGAGAGAGATGGTTTGGTTTACTAGACTTTCTTAAAAGGAGGAGGACTGAAGGAGAAGGAGGGTTGAGTAAAAAGAGAGGAAAATGATCATCAATAAGTGAGGTAGATGAAGAGACCAAAGTAAAAGGTTTCTTCTACAACAATTCCCTCACTCCCTTTCTTTCAAGTTACAACCACGCTCTCATTTTGATTATTATTTTTCAATTATTGTATGAGTAAACTGCTTTTTTCCATCCAAAAAGTGTTGAAATACTACTTTTTCACCCAAAGTTTATATTCTGTTACTATCTAAAATGCATTTCACTTTTTCAACCGACGTTCAACGAGTTAACAAGAGTCAAGATGAGAGATGTTTTATTGATTCGAGGCAGGTGGATCGAATAGTAATAATCGATTGAATATTCACCGTTAGAATCAGTCAGAAATCAGCTAAGAACAAGAAATCTTAGTTTTGCGATTGTTGACAATCGGCGAGAAATCAGGTGCCGAAGTAAATAAAAATGGTTTTGAAGAGAGGAGACTGAAGATTTAAATGGTGGTAACAGAGAGAATTTTCGCCGTTGAAATCAGCTTTGGATAGTAACAGAATATAAACTTAAGGTGAGAAAGTGATATTTTGAAACGTTTTGGGTGAGAAAGTTATTAAGTCAAACCTTGGGTGGGACGTATACTATAATCCCCATTTTATTTAAAAAATAAAATAAAGTGGGTGTTGCCCATACTCTCATTAATATGTTGCATAACTTTTTCTTTACTCTTTAGACCCATTCTTTTTATTATTTTTTATTATTAAATGTTAATTAAATTGAGATGATGTCTAATCTTTATCCACCTTCAATTCTTATCATTGTGATGTATAATACAATAGTATTGGCACTATAATTAATTATAATGCAAAATATCAAAATTTTAATATAATAAGTTATTTTATTTAATATATAATAACGTTTCATGAATATCTATACTATGAATATAATGTATTGTATTTTATTTATTTATTTATTTAGGGTGAAAACGAATGACGTGCTTCTCACGCGCACGCCTCTCAATATAAACCATGCCTTTAATTTAAGTTAAGGATTTTGATTGAACTTTGAAGTCTAAAGAAAAGAAAGTGCCGTGGTTACCTTAGGGGTGAGCGGTTTCGGGTACCCTGCACTTTTCCAGAGAACCGGAACCGGAAACGCACGTACAGGTTCCCAAAAAAGGAACCGGAACGGAACCGCACAATACAGGTTCTTCAATTAAGGAAACGGAACCTAAAATGCAGGTTTCGGTTCCTTTCCAGGGTACCTATAAAAAATCAATTACCCCCTATTAGTTAAAAAATAACAAAAAAACCTTATAAGTTTACAAATACACCCCTAACAAATTTTCGTTATTCATTCATTTGTGTCCAATGGAACTATACCTGTAATCTCTAAGCAACACTTGAATCAATCAATCATCACAATCACTAATATTCGTCAATCAAAACAAAAAAACAAACAATTATTCATCACAATTCACATAAAATAACTTCACCAAAATCATTTAAATAAACAACAATTCTTATACTAATTACTAACATTGCCATTTGCCAGGGGTCTATTTGATAAGTTAATAATTATTAATGTTTATAAATTTATTAATTTAATGTTATAATTGGTTAATTGGTATTTATAATATACCAAATATAATTTAGTAAATTTAATATTAGAAACAAGTAAGTATAATAAATAAGTGATCATACTCAATGTAAATTGTAATGTTATATTAATTAAGTGATCATACTACAATGTAAATTGTAATGTTATAATTAAATAAGTAATATATTATTTAATTATAATGGAATATTATAATTAATTAAATTGTTAATCATTAATTAAGTATTATAATATTGTTTATAATAGAATGTTATAATTAATTAAATAATCATACAATAAATTTATAATATAATGTTATAATTAATAAAATTATAATAATTCGATTAAATATTGTGACAAAGTAAATTACTAATGTTTAAATATAATGTCATAATCAATTAGTAATCATTTAATTATGTAATGTTATATTAATTATATGATCATACTATAATAGTATAATGTAATGTGTATAATGAATTAAGTAATCATACTACAAAATATAATTTAATATTATAATAATTAAAATTTCAAATCATTTAATTAATATACTAATGTTTATAATGGAATGTTATAATTGATTAAGTAATCATATTACAAATATAAAAAGTATGTTATAATTAATTAAATTTTTAATCGTTTAATTAAGTAATGTAATAGTATAGTAGTTACTAATGTTTTAATGTAATGTTATAAATTCATAACTAATTAAGATTATGTAATCATTTAACTATATAATGTTATAATTAAGTAAGTGATCATAATATAATGTAATATAAATATTATAATTTAATTGAGTAATTATTTAACTATAATGTAATGCTTAATTAATGTTTATAAGGTAATGTTATAATTATTAAATTTCTTTCATTTAATAGTATTGTGCTAATGTTTATGTAGTAAATTAGTAATTACTAATGTTTAAAATATAATATCATAACTCATAATCAATTAAGTAATTATTTAATTATATAATGTTATATTAATTATATGATCATACTATAAATAGTATAATGTAATGTTATAATGAATTAAGAATCATACTACAAATCTATAATTTAATATTAATTATTAAATTTCAAATCATTTAATTAATATACTAATGTTATAATGGAATGTTATAATGATTAAGTAATCATATTCAAATATATAAAGTAAAGTTATATAATTAAATTTTTAATCGTTTTTATTAATAATGTAATAGTATAGTAAATTACAATGTTTATTGTAATGTTATAAATTAATAACTAATTAAGTAATATGTAATCATTTAACTATAATGTTATAATTAAGTAAGTAATCATAATATAAAGTAATTTATAATATTATAATTAATTGAGTAATTATTTAACTATATGTAATGCTAATTAATGTTTAAATGAAATTTATAAGATAATGTTATAATTAATTAAATTTTTTACATTCAATTAAGTATTGTGCTAATGTTTATATAGTAAATTATTAATTTAATGTTTAAAATATAATACAAACTCATAACAATTAAGTAATTATTTAATTATGTAATGTTATAACTTATATGATCATACTATAATAGTATAATGTAATGTTATAATGAATAAATAATTATACTATAAATCTATTATTAATATTATAATTAATTAAATTTCAATCATTTGATAATATACTAATGTTTATAATAGAATGTTATAATTGATTAAGTAATTATTATAAATATTAAGGAATGTTTTAATATTAAATTTTTAATCGTTTATTAAGTAATGAATTATAGTAATTAGTAAATTACTAATGTTTACAATGTAATGTTATAAATTCATAACTAATTATGTAATTATGTAATCATTTAACTATGTAATGCTATAATTAAGTAAGTGATCATAATATATAATGTATATTAATAATTTAATTAATGAGTAATTATTAACTATAATGTAATGTTTAATTAATGTTTATAATGAAATGTTTATAAGTAATGTTATAATAATTAAATTTTCTTATCATTCAATTAAGTATTGTGCTAATATTTATGTAGCAAATTGTAATTACTAATGTTTAAAACTAATATCATAACTCATAATCAAATAAGTAATTATTTAATTATGTAATGTATAATTAATTTATATATCATACTATAATGTAATGTTATAGTGAATTAACTATTAAATAATCATACTATAAATTTTTAATGTAATATTATAATTAATTAAATAATTTTTAATCATTTAATAAGTTTGTACTAATGTGTTATAATAAAGTCAATTAATTAAGTAGTATCAATTAATGTAATGCTATAATTATATACTATAAATCAATTAAGTAATGTTATAAAATATAATTAATTAAGTAATCATTTAACTATAATGTAATTTATAATTGATTAAGTATGATATAACTAGTAATTAAATTTATAATGTTTATCAATTTATCATATATAATTAATAATTACTAATTTATTTAGATATATTAGAACTTGATAATTGAAGTAAATAACTAAATATATATTACTCAATCAAATATACTATTTTATTCAAAAATAATTCTTTTATAACATTAAAAATGTAAAACACTTTTAATGGATCATAATTCCAATTATTCACTTAATTGATCAAAACTTTAATATATATATTATAATTATTAAAGCTTTTAATATGGTGTAATTATATGTAATAAGTATAATTGTATTCGTATATATTTATTTAATAGGTTATTCTAAAAATTTAATTTTTTCTATTTTAATTTTTTTATATGTAAAATAATAGAAACTCCCCCATTATTTACATTTCACAAATATTCATTATAGTCCAGGTTCCAAATAGGTTCTAAACAGGTTCCAAAAACAGGTTCCAATATAGGTTCCAAAACAGGTTCCAAAAGGTTCCAAAACAGGTTCCAACAGGTTCCAAAACAGGTTCCAAAACAGGTTCCAAAACAGGTTCCAAACAGGTTCCAAAACAGGTTCCAAACAGGGTACCCCCTACAGGTTCCAAACAGGGTACCCTTTTTACGGTTCCGGTTCCGGTTCCGGTTCCTTCGGGGGTAAGAACGGAACGGAACCGGAACCGCACAGTAGCGGTTCCAAAAAATTGGAACCGGAACCTACCCGCACAGTGCAGGTTCTGGGTAGGTTCCGGTTCCGGTTCCGGTTCTTACCCCCGGTTTCAGTTCTACCCACTACCCGTGCTCACCCCTAGTTACCTTGAGTAGAAATATACTGTATTGGCAATCCTACAATAACTACTCTACACCCCTACATCAACCAATAGAATAATTCCAAAGAAATACTAAATCCAATCTCTTTCTTATTCTCTTCGTCATGCTTATTGTTTTAATCTATTATTCAAAATCATATTAAAAAAAAAAA